CATTCCGAATTTAGCATTTGGACATTGCCATTGAACGAATGACCTTATCTCTTTATTTCAATCTCTAGGCTTTTGTCCGATTCATGGAATAGATTGTAGCGCGGGCACTGCAGTATACATTTCTACAACTTCCCCACAGGAATTACAGACTTGAAAAATACATCTGTGATAGGCAAAATTTCACCTCCTCAGCACCCTTTGCCTCTTCCCCACCGCCTACCTTGAATCCATCTTTGGCTTTATTTTGGCCATACCAGAAAGAAAACGTTAGCAGGATGAGCACTGATATGAGGATCAGAATAAAGATTATTGTTGTTGTTTTTCCTTCTAATTAACTCCTTGAAAGGATTCCAAGCCTGGGAAAGAACCTGCATGTCAGTTGCTGAGCAAAAGAAACTTCTGGGGTTCTGTATTGTTTCACTGTATTTATTGAGTCAGGTGGTGCCTTAGGAACAAAAGCAACAGTAAAACTAACATGCTGGGGCCTGGGCCTTGTTCTCTCTCTCTCTCTCTCTCTCTCTCTCTCTCTCTCTCTCTCTCTCCCACACATACACACACACACACACACACACACACACACTGGTGGCTTATGGCTTATTTGGAGTTCTCAGGTGGGGACCCAGTTCAAATATTTTGACAGCTGGAAAGGCCCTCAACACTCTGCTTCAACCTCTCACACCTAGGCCTAAAAAGTCCTGTACCAAATGAGTTATTTTTTCTTTGTTTGTCTCTTTCTTTTGAGACAGTGTCTTAGTATCCAGCCAGGCTTTGAACTAGGCATAGAGCTGTGGATGACTTTGAATTTCTGATTCCTCTGCTTCTTCTTACTGAGTGCTGTGATTATAGGATGTGCCAAAATACTCTGTTTAAGAGGTGCTGGAGAATTGAACCCAGGGCTTCATGTTTGCTTGGCAAGCTCTCTACTAATTAAGCTACTTTTCCAGCCCTCCTTTTCTTCCTCCATCTTCTCTTCCACTCCCTTCTCTTCCTTTATTTCATTTCCCACTTCCTGCTTTATTTATTGATTTATTAATGAATTTTTGCATTATTCTTCAGGAGAGATGCCATGCAAGCAATCTACTACATGCAGTCAAATTTCCCACATTTGGGGAACCCACAGAGGACAGTCCATCTGGAGTGCATTGGATAAACCTATTTTTTGAGACAGGGTTTCTCTCTGTGATTCAATCTGGCCTAGAACTCACTCTGCAGCCCAGGGTGGCCTCAAACTTTCAACACGCCTGCCTCTAAATTCTGAGTGCTGGGAGTACAGGTACATAAAAACCACATCTGTTCTGTTTCGTTTTGTGTTTTTTTTTTTTTTTTTTTTTCCGAAACCAGAACATTTATTTTATGACTGACTGAAATCCTTAAGATGAACTGGATGCTGCAGCAGCTGCCCTCTTGGGTTTAGGTGTTGTCCCTTCACGGAATCCATGTCTGAATCTTCGATTGACAATCTTAAGGTGCCTCATACGCCCAGTCCCGGTAGTGTTTCGCCTCTTAGCCTTGGCACTCCAGTCATACTTTCTCTTGCACTTGGCAGGGTAGCCACATTTGCCACAGGTGGACTTCTGAAGGTGGTAGGCCTTGGAGCCACAGTGGTGGAAAAAAACGTGTGCGTGTCTTATTGCAACGCTTTCCAAAGGATGATGTTCCTTTCGTCATCTTGCTTCTGCTGCCGAGGCCAAAGAGACCGGAAGAGCTCGTTTTGTGTTTTATATTTTTTGTTTTTGAATCAGGGGTTGTTCTTTGTTGCCTAGGCTGGCCTAGAATTTTCTACATGATCCAGGCTATTGGATTCTACTTCACCTAGCTCTATGACACTACACCCCACTGGTTCTCCAGTCTCTGGTGTCTGGCCTGTGGGCATGCCTGATTGCTGCAGCCTGGCCTTCCTTGGCCTACAGTTGTGGCAGCACTACTGCTCACCTTGCTTGTTCCCATCGTCACCCCGAAAGCACGGCCTCCCCAGACACTGGCCTATTAGCTCCCACTGCAGCCAGTTCTCTCATAAATAACAGGTTGTCAGGTTTTTTTTTTTTTTTTTAATGGAACCCTCTGCAAACCATAAATCTTCAATGTTCCTTCCAGTATCCTCTCCTTCATTTCCATAACAATAGGGCTCCAGAGGGACCGGGTGGGGGTGGGATGTCAGGGAAACTGAAACCTAGGCCCAGCAGAACAGATTGGTGAAATACTGGGAAAATAAAGATGGCTGGGGGAGGAGAACAGAGCTGCGGCAGTTGGTCTTAGGGAAACATCTGCTGGGTGGCCAGTTGACGATGGTCGTTTAGGCCCTTCAGGCACCAGAGAGGAGGCAGGGAAGAGAGAAGGCGGGTGTGGATAGTATATAGAGGTTTCTGGAAGAGTAGCAGATGGCTGTTGGTTCCACCTTGGTTTCTCTATTCACTCCAGGATGAACTGAAACCTCCGGCCACAGACTGCCTTTGTCCTCAGGGCTGAGTTATCCTTGCCTCTAGCTGTCAGTCTGCCTGTTAGGACAGCGGGTGAGAAGCAAATTTCCAACCTAGGTTACTACCTCAGCAGACTAGCTCTCCATAGGGGGGAGGGGATGGAAGTTTATTTGTAGTCACTGTTGACAACCCCCAGTAGCCCTTCTCCAGGCTTAGAGACCGAACCCAGGACCCTGTGTGTACTGGACCAGCTACCAGTAAGCTACACCCCCAACACAACACTCTCTTTGGGGTACCCTAGAAGAAACCCCCTCTCAGGTTTATGGTGGCTGCTTTATTCAGATAAGGGAAATTCTGATACCGTTTCTTTGTGCACATAGTGTTCACTTTGAAATAATTTTATACTGTGTTAGCGGGGGTTCTGTTGTTGATTCTGACTTAATAAACTTAACTGCTCAGAACCTTTCTCCCCTGGGCAATGGCAGAAAGCAGCTTTTGGGGATAGAACTACAGTCGAATTTGGTAATTGTGCTGTGTGTGGTTTGAAAGGGAGCGAGGGAAAGGGAGTTGGGCCTCTACACATGACACTCATGGGCAAGGATTAAGAGTCAACATAAAGCAGATGAGGTCTACAGGACAGGGAGTTGAGATCTCTTGGGTTTCACTGGTGAGATGTTTTTGTTTTGTTTTGATTTTTAGCCCAGGTTGCCTCAGGTGTAAGATCCTGTTTCACTAAGCCTGGGATGACAGATGACTGATTTGTGCCATCACTCCTACCTTGGTGTCTCTCCCTTTCCCCCACTTTTGTCCATTATTACCTAACTCCAGGACACATCATGAGCATGATGTTCCCAGTAAACCTGCTAAAACCTGTAACGAGTCTTTCTCTGTACTGCCAGCTCCCAAATAGCAATTTGGAGCAGTATTGTCTGACAACTCCGCCTCTCTTCCTCCAGTCTCTCAGTACCCAGAAGTCCCACCTAATTTCTTCTTCCTAGCTATTGGGCATTCAGCTCTTGATTAAACCAGTGTACATCTTCACACAGTGTAAAGGAGTATTCCACAGCGAAGAACCCTGTGGGGAAAGTCTCCTGGATTAACTTGGACACTCTGCTCCTGTCTCTTTCTTTTTGCTTGCAGCTAAAGGCTTCTGTGTTCTCTTACTTATGCTCCCCCTCAGGCTGTGTGCAAAGGTTCTCAGCAGAAAGGATCCATTCACTGCCTTACTTCTTGAGCCTAAATCTCTACCAAAGGAATGGCCACATTTCATTGATGTCAAGTCAAGCACCAGAAAAATTAAGAATGAGAGGAAGGTGGAGTTTTGGAAGGAGGTGTAGTTGGCAGTGTTTGCTTAATATGTTCAAAGCCCTGGGATCAATCCCCAGCATGGCAAACAGCATGACTAAACCAGGCATAGTAATGCACACTTGTGATCCCAGATGTAGAGGCAAAAGCATCAGGTGATCCAGGCCAAAAAGCCTTGTCTAAAACAAAACCCCACCATCTAAAATCACAGTAGTAGCCGGGCAGTGATAGCTCACGCCTTTATTCCCAGCCTCGAAGGCAGAGGCAGGTGAATCTCTGTGAGTTTGAGGCCAGCCTGGTCTACAGAGTAAGTTCCAGGACAGCTAGGGCTGTTACACAGAAAAACCCTGTCTCGACACACCCCCTCAAACAAAAACAAAAAAAATACAAAACAAGCCCAACAACCCACAGTAGCTTCAAATCAACCCTTTGGTCTTTCAACAAATTCTGAATTAACACTTTTTTTTTTCTGCCTGTCTGCCTTTGCAGGCAGTTTGGCGGCATGTGGGAGTATAGGTTAAGACAGGAGGAAACAAAAAGACTGAATCCACGGGGGCTGGAGAGATGGCTCAGAGGTTAAGAGCACTGGTTACTCTTCCAAAGGTCCTGAGTTCAATTCCCAGCAATCACATGGTGGCTCAGAGCCATCTGTACTTGGGTCTGGTGCCCTCTCCTGGTGTTAGCAGACATGTAAGCAGAGCATTGTAAACACAATAAATAAATCTTAAAAAAAAAAAAGACTGAATCCAGTTATTACCAAGGTTCTCCACCATAAATACAACAAATGAGTCCCCTTCCTTCCTGCCCCCCCTTAAATCTCTTCAGTCGGACTTTCTTTCTTCCACTAGTTAGTTCCCACTAGTTAGTTCAGTGGAAACCGTGACCCCCGCCCTCCAATTCTGGAAGGAGATATGATTCACTAAGTCCGAGCGGTTCATTATTGGTTTGCAGCACTCATTTTATTGAGAAAGAAGCCCAAGACCCCCACAGTTACAAATATCCTGATAAAACTACTGATCTCGTCGAGCATCCAGCTTCTGGACTGGGATGAATACGGTCTCCAGAGAATCTAAATTTAAAGGAAGCCTGTCTTCCAGTTGACCTGAAGAGCAGCTGGATTGCGGTGTTCCGCCTGCCGGTGCGCAGGTGTATACCCCGCCTTGTAACGCCCAAACCCGAGGGTGGGGCGTACCCCCCCCCCCCCCGCAGTAGGCGCAGGCGGGGCGGGGCTAGGCGGAGACGAGCCGTAACCGCGCTCCCCGCGCTAGGCAGCGTCGCCCGAGCGTCCTCCGCGTCTCCAGGGACAACCTAGGCGCTACCCTCCGCGGGCGCCGCGACGGTTAATCAGATTCCCGACCGAGGGGGCATGGCCGCCTGCTGCAGGGGCCAATCGAAAGCCTGGGAGGCCCTATATGCAAATATGAGGGCCGGGCGGACCCGAGGTTAGGAGGGGTGAGGGTTGGGGTCGCAGTAGGGTGGTTGCGACCGATCATTGCCGCCCAGCCGGCGAGATCCGGGCAGTAGCAATCACGGGTAAGGAAACCGGGTGCTGGCCCTAAATCGCCACCTCCTAGTGTCTCCCTAAAGAACTGGCTCTACTCTTGGCCACCCCTCTTTGCCTTCCTCGGTGGCGTTCCACGATGCCAGCCTCTTACCCTCACGAACCCTAAGTACCACTTCTCTGTAGCTGGTACTAATAGTCATTTGCCGCCCTTCCTGGTTTTCCACAGCCATTGCCACCTGGGGGCAGTCCCTTAGATACCAACCATCTCAGGGACACTTGAGGAGCTCCTCATCACGCCCTCTAGTCGGGTCAGTCCGAGAAGCCTTCCAAAAAGACAGTTTTGTTTGTTCTATTTCATGCCTGGAATAGCCCTATGCCTCCATTCCCTTCATCAGCTTTTCAACTCTCTTTTGCCTTTCATTTTTCTTTCCTTTTTTCTTTTTTCTTTTTTTTTTTTTTTCGGCCCGTCCTGAATACTTTTCTAGCCTTGAGAAAGTTATCTAGAATTTGAACCATAGGGAAATAAATATATCCTTTACATTTGGGAACAAAATAGAGAACTAAATGTTAATTAACTATTGTTATGTGCCGGGGGCTCAAAAATTTTTATTTAATATTTCTATCAGTATTTTATCATCATCATTTTGGGGTGCTGGGGATCGAATCCAGGGACTTGGGCAAGTGCTTCAATACAGAACCTCTCCCCCATATCCTTACTTGGCAATATGGCATTTATTTTGAACCAAGTGCTGCTTGAAGAGCAGTAGGAATACTAGCTGGGTGTTCGAACGAGATGAATATTGTCCTTAATTTTTTTAGGAGGAAAGTGAGGAGTAAAGAGGCTGTTGCCCAGTGACACCACTGAATAAAACGAGAGTGCAAGGCATGGTTGTCACTCACCTGCTATCTCAGCCTCAGGTGACACTCAGGCTAGAGAATTTCAAACTTGGAGTAAGCCTAGGCTGCATAGCAAGACCCTGTGAAAAGGAAAAGCAAGAAAGGAAATAGAGATGGAATATGGATCTAGGTTTATCTTGGCCAATATTTTCCTGTCATGGAGGAGCTGGGTGGCTATGACCGTGGCCTGAAAACTGCATCTTCTAACATCACAAAATTCCTCAGTTTCTAGCAGAATAAACGGTAACATATGAGTGGGCAAGAATCTTATCATTCTCAATAAGTGTGGTATGGTCTGTTCTGGGCACTAGCTGGATTCCCTGGGCAGATCCAATGTAATATCTAGATCCTCCTCTGGGTTCTTTTTCTGAGAGTCCTGCTATGTTTCTCAGGCTAACCTCGAGCTTGTCATGTAGCCCTAACTCTGCTCAGCCCTCCTGCTGCCTCAACCTCTTGAGTCCTGGGCTCTCTCTCTCTCTCTCTTTCCTTCTATCTCTCATATACACACACACACACATTCCACTGTGCCTCCAACTATGAAGTTTTTACCCTCCTGGTGCTCTTGTATTCACCGAGAAAATAGAGAATAGTTAAGGAAATGATTACTCGATATTTGTGCCTTGTAAATCAAAGGCTGAACCAAAGCTAGATCCGGAGTGCTTTTTTTTTTTTTCCCTTTTGTTCATTGACTGTTTTCCCAGCAGCTGTCTACTGGGGACCCTCATAAGGATGCTTTTAGTAGGGAAATGACAAAAAGATAAAAAGGGAGGATGATGAGAAAGGAGAAGGAAGTCATGGACGTCCTTAGAGGAGAGCCCTCTGTATATGTTCCTACAGACTCAAAAAAAGTGGGCTTTGAAACACAGAGATAGAAGAGCTTTCCCAGTCACCCTTGTTAATCAACCCTCCAACTGTTCTTTCCTGCTGTTTATAAGACTCAGGCATTCTGTCTTGCAAAAGAAAGCACTAAAATTTTTTTTTGCCCTTTGGAACCATGCCAGGGGATGAAGAGTAGAAAATGTGCGTAACCCTTCAGAAGTAGAGGCCTGTGCGATGGGGCATGTCTGTGCTACTTCACTTAGGAGGTGGAAGATCAAGTCTAGACTTCCTGGGTTACATGGAACCCTCAGTCACAGAGCAAAGAACAAACACAAGCTTTCCCTCAAAAAATAAGAGAAAAACAACCTGGTTACCAACTGTTCTTCCAAACAACCTGCTGAGCCTTTGCCAGGGCCATGGCAGTACTCATTGCCTCCCCCTGGTGGCCACCATAGGGCTGTCTAACAAAGATCTAGTAGGTTATTCTTGACTTGGAAGATCAAATTCAAGTGGGTACTAACATGAGAGGAATCTTCAGTGTGGTAAGTATCCTATTTGGAAAGGTGAAGTGAACATTTTTATGTCATTAGGAGTCACTGAAGATGCTATTGCATGTGAATACAGTAATAACAACTTATGCTCTTTTGTTTGAGGGGGGTTATTTGCTATTGTTTTTTGTTTTGTTTTTGAGAGAGGGCCTCAACTTAGAATGCAGACCAGGCTGGCCTTGAACTCACAGAAATTCACTATCACTGCCTCCCAACTGCTGGGATTAAAGGTGTGCATCATCTTTCTTGAAACTTACAACCTAGGCTGGCCTGGAATTCTTGGTGACCTTCCTTTATCAGCCTTCCTCATGCTAGGACTCAAGGCACACACCACTATGCCTGTACTTGCCAAGGATCCTGGTCTATTTTGTTTGACTGATGTCCTTGCTAAAAGAAAGATAATGGGGGCCGGGCGGGGTGGGTGGGTGGGGTGACACTGGAATTTTGGTTCTGGCTTCCGTGACTTGGTCTCCAGCTACGGTCAGTTCCCTTAATCCAAAAGAGTGTTTGTATGTGCATGTACTTACCTGAGTGAATGCTGTTCTGAAAGCAAGTGGGTGGTTGAATTAGACATTCTTTTGTTTGTTTGTTTGATTTTCGAGACAAGGTTTCTCTATGTAGCTTTGGAGGCTATCTTGGAACTCATTCTGTAGACCAGGCTGACCTTGAACTCACAGAGATAAACCCACTTCTGCCTCCCAAGTGCTTGGGTTAAAGGTGTGCACCACCACGGATTAGACTTACTTCAAGTCTTTTCCTGATGTAACATTGAGGAATTTTTTGAGAGTTTAGCAAATATTTTGAATTCATTCCTGGGTTTGATCCTTGGCATCCCATAATCTGGGTGTGGTGGGACATGGAGACAGTAAGATTAGAAGTTTAAGGTCATTCCTGGCTGTTTAGCAAGCTTGAGGCCAACCTGGTCTACACGATTTTTTTCTGATACCAGAAATTTAGAATGGTTGGGGGTGTTATGGGGTATGAATTGATGTTAGACGACGTACCTAGCATTTTAAGGACCTGGGTTCAATACCTGTATAATAAAAATGAATGATTTTTTTTATTCAGCCCTGGGTGAAGCAGCTTTTGTTCTAAGTCAGAGTTGCTTGGGGATAAATAAATAAATAAATAAATAAATAAATAAATAAAGGGCACTAATGTAGGGTTCAGGAGCAGAGCGCCCACCCTTCATCCTGTGTAGGGTCTGGGCTCAATCCCCAGTACTACAAAAGGAAACAAAAGAAACAGACCCTCTGCTTACAGGCTAAAAACATGCAGGAACAAAACTAGTAAGTTCAATCACTGAGACAATTAGGTCAGGTACTGTGGCTCAGCTTATGATCCCAGCACTCAGCAGGATGAGGCAGGGCTTTGAGTACAAGGCTGCCTGCCCGTGGCTACATAGAGCTCCAGGCCTTATGACAAGACTGACACACTCACCCATGGTCAGGAAAGAAAAAGGAGTGGGGGGACAGTGATTCAAGAGGTAAAAGGATCTGGCCTTGATGACCTAAGTTTAATCTCTGAGATCCGCATGGTGGAAGGAAAGAACTGTTTCCAGTAAATTGTTCTTTGACCTCCACAACATATGCACACACCCGCACACACACGCACACAGACACACCTATACATGCACATAAAAATAAATAAAATTTCATTTACAAAAATGAGCCAAGTGTGGTAGGTCGTGCGAACCTGTAGTCCCAGCACTTGGGATACTGAAGCAGGAGGATCAAAACAAGTTACTGGCCAGCCAGGGCTACACAGCAAGACTTTGTCTCAAAAAACAATGTTAAATAAGGGACTGGGGAGATAGCTGCTGTGTGAGCTGGGGATGGAGTCTGTAATCCCAGCACTGATGGAAGGAGACAGGCAGATCTCAGGGGCTCGCTGGCCAGCCAGTAGAGCCAAAATAGCAAGCTGCAGGGTCAGTGAGAAATCCCATCTCAGAAAATGAAGTGGTGAGCCGTAGACATTGTCCTCTCATCTCTACACATACATGCATGGGCAAATGTCCCTGAACGAATGTACACACACGTGTACAAAAAAAAAAAATTAAATAAAAAAGGGTCAGTACTCTCAATGCTACTATAAACGCACAATACTATTTGTCACTTGGGTTCTGTGTCATAGACACTACAAGAGTATGAAAGAAGCTGGGCATTGGTGGTGTAGCACGCCTTTAATCCCAGCACTCGGGAGGCAGAGGCAGGTGGATCTCTGTGAGTTCGAGGCCAGCCTGGTCTGCAGAGTGAGTTCCAGGACAGGCTCCAAAGCAATACAGAGAAACCCTGTCTCAAAAAACAAAAACAAGAAAACAAAAGGATGTGAAAGAAATATTAAGGAGAGAGTCGCTCGCTGCTGCGCTTTAATTGTTGGCTGAAGGAATGTAGACTGACTTTGACAAAAGAAATAGAAATCTGTGTTTTATAAGAAATGTGCATTTTCTACTTGGCAAGTGCTCCTTCTGAGCAGCTGTAGCCACATTCTCCTGTGAGCCAGGGGGATGTTTCTGCAGGCTAGCTTTAAGGAGATGTTCTTTCTGGAGTGTTTGCAGAGAAGGCAGACGGATTCAGCCTTGGACATGAAACAGGATCCAGAGTATGAGGGGAGAGAAAGCAAGGGAAGGCGGCATGGTGGCACCAGCTGGTGGACAGGATCCGGGTTTGGGTCCCAGCATCGTGGTAGCTTAACATCCTTCTGTGACTTCAGTTCCAGAGGATCTGCTGCCCTCCTCTGGCCTTCTCAGGCACTGCACAGATGTGCCACACAGACAAACAGGTGCAAGCAAAACACTCATATGTATAGAATATGAAAATAAATAAATCTGAAGAAAGAAAGGAACCAAGACCAAAGCTGAACTAATCATATGTGGCAAGGGCTGTTGTTTGCCATCTTGCACCTCTTTCAGGTTCCATCTAGGTGGATCTTGTATCCTATGTAGCCTAGAGTACAGGACAGGTAGGATGGAGGCAAGAATGACCCACTCCTCTAAAAGTGCATGGGTTTGGTCTCTTGAGCTCTGTGCTGAGCCCCTGTCACACAAACAGAATTGGACTTTGTATATGTTTGCAACAGGGTCTTAATCTCATCACTGAGGGCACACAGGCCTGGAATCCATGGTTTTCGGCCCCACATTGCCTTTTTTTTTTTTTTTTTTTTTTTTTTTTTTTTTAATGCCATCTTGTTCTTCTCTTTGAGGCATACATGATTTACTCTTACCACCTGGGCAAGGCCCTAAAAAAGACAACTACAACCCACAGTTCCAGAGTACAAATTCGGGGTCAGTTTCTCCCCAAGTTAACATTAACCTTTAGGTAAACGAGCCACTCCTGTACAAGGGCTTGGTAAAGAGGAGCATTGTTGGAGGCCTGGGGAGTGGAACTGATCGTTTACCTGTGGGGAAGGGAGCAGCCCAAGGCCAAGACTTGATGTTCCCCAGTTCTCTCGAATGTTGCCAAGTTCACTGGGAACATTGACTCATATGGCTGCCGAAGCTTTCTCTGTCGTTTGTCCTGAGGGAGAAATCAGCACAACCAGTGTCCATTGCAGCGGCTCTGCCCCCCCCTTTCCCAGGGGCGGTGGTGAGCATTTACCCAGAGCATGTATTTGAAAATCCTTGGCAAAGCCACAGCAATATGTCACATGAAAGGTTATTGTTAAATTATTCATAGGCAGCCTTCATAGTTAAAACTCTACCCGTCAGCACCAGGTTAGGTTCAGGCAAAGGGCATGGAGGAGTATTAGGGTGCTGTGGCGTCAAAAGACACAGGGGTGTCGGTGTTGCCTAGAATTAGCAAGTTTGGATGGAAACGTGATATGATTCCTAAGAGATCAAGTGGCTCTGGTGAGACTGCTATAATTGCCTATTGCTGGAGGTAGTCGGCTGAAATTGTTAAAAATCCCTTGGGATGTAACATGGTGAACACACATACACACATATGCATGCACGCATACACACACACACACACACACACACACACACACACACACACACACACCAGAAGCTACATAATCTTTTGAGTCTTTTGTTCTTTTTGAGACAGGGTTTCTTTGTGGTTTTGGAGACTAGCTCTTGTAGACCAGGCTGGTCTCGAACTCACAGAGATCCACCTGCCTCTGCCTCCCGAGTGCTGGGATTAAAGATAAGCACCACCAATGCCCAGCTCTTTTGAGCCTTTTAATCCCTGAACATTGTCTTTTATTTTGAAGACAGAGTCTCCTGTAGTTCAGGCTGGCCTCTAACTAAATTCATTCAGCTCCTGATCCTCTTATGTCTACCTCCCAAGTGCTGGAAACCACAGGAACAAGGATTGCCCTCAAAAGCTGGGAGTGGGGGCACACACCTGTAAGTCTGGTATTTGGGGGGGCTGACACAGTGAGATCCTGTCCCAAATAAACAGACAAGAGACAAAACAATCCCCCAAAGAAGTAAAAGACCTTCTATACATGGAAATGTGTGTCTTGTTTTTCTTCTTTAAGAGATGGGGTCTCACCAGGCTCAATGATCCTCCTGCCTCAGCTTCCCTAGTAGCCTAACTCTGGCCACCATCCCCCGCTTGAAAATGTATTTTAGGCTATTTAGATAATATCAAAATTGGAAACAATTTAAATGTCCAATAATACAGCAAGGGTTGGTTTAATTTAGGCACATTTCTTCTATGGAATGTTTCCTAGCCGTTAAATATCAGGAACACGTTGGCCATCAGGATGGCTCGGGGTAAGTGTGTGTCACAAGAAACCTGACTACCTACATGAGTTTGATTCCAGAACCCACATAATAGGAGAGAACTGACTCCCACAAATTGTCCCCCAACACATATATAGACTTTAAAAAAAGAAAAAGAAAAAAAAATAAATGTACCTAGGGACATGCACATTTTCGCAACATAAGTGGGCCTTTGTGGTATGCTAGTAGATGGGCAGAAAGAAGCTATAAAAATGATTAATATGATATCAAAATAATTACAATCAGAAGTTGAGAATTAAGGAGAATTCATAGCCAAGGCAAAATTCCTTTGTTAGAGTAGGCAAGCCACAGGTGATGTCTACTTTCTTTTTTTTGTTGTTGTTGTTTTGTTTTGTTTCATTTTCTGAGACAGGGTTTCTCTGTGTAGTCCGAGCTGTCCTGGAACTCACTCTGTAGACCAGGCTGTCCCCAGACTCACAGAGATCTCCCTGCCTCTGGCTCCCAAGTGCAGGGATTAAAGGCGAGGGCCACTATCACTTGGGTACTCTCTCATTTTAAGGCCTTCTTTAACATGATTTCTATAATAATCTGAATAATAATCTTTTTTTCTTTGAATCCTAAGGGGTGTGTGGACAGAACAGGTAGTAAGTAGCAGAAGGTGTGTGGTCATCAAAGGAGAGGGTCTGGAGCGATGAGGTTGGTGGAGGGGGGGAGAGAGGAAGGTGGGAGTGAAATGGACTTTATGGCCACCGTAGGAGCCTTGCCTATGAGTGGTGTGAACGGCTGGAGAGATGGCTCAGCTGTTGAGAGTGGGTGTTCCAGAAAACCTGAGTTCCATTCCCAGTACCCACAGCTATTGATTCACCACCACCCATGTGCCTTAATTCATGCCTGCATCTTGCTGTGTGGGAGATTGAGTGTAGCACTGCAACGGTTAACAGATCTCAGCCCACCTCCAGTGCACCCTGGGGACCCAATACCCTCAGGTAGGAAGGCTTTGAGGCTGTCTCCAGGCACACTCCCTCACTTTAATAATGAGATTGTTTACGAGGTGGTACCTGCAGAGGAGCTCAGTCTCTCTCTGAAAATCCCAGATGGCCAAAACCAAGGCCGGGGTTGGCTAAGTGAGTCCCTAAGGTCAAGAGTCCTTGACAAAGGTGGAATTATCTCTCCCCCGAGCGTGCACCAAGAGTGCCATTGGAGGGGGGGGGGATTGCATTTTTATAAACTCCCACATGAGCAACGGAGGAGGGCCCCCTGCAGGTGGAACCATGCAACTTCTGTTCACTCTGCCCTCTCTCCAGGGAGGGCTGGTGTGTCCCCAGAGCCTCCTCCAGGGCTGGGAAGATGCTACAGTGCCTGACTTCGGAGAGTGAGGAAGGTGGTGAAGAGAAGGAGGAGAGTTCTACAGAAGATCTAGAAGAGCTAAAAGAATTTGTCACCCTGGCTTTTGTGAGAGAGAACACACAAAAGAGGCTTCAGAACGCCCAGCAGCATGGCAAGAAGAAGAGGAAGAGAAAAAGGTTAGTATTGAAAACTGAGGAGTCGGGGTGGGGACAGGGGCAGGGGCAGGGGCAGGATCAGTGTCGATAAGAAGAGGAAGGACCAGAGGGAAGATGATTGGTTGATGAGAGGAAAAGGAGACATCGTGGGCTTGGCTTGTCGAGCTTACACTACTTTGGGTTCACATAAAAGAAGCCACTCTCGGTGTTCCGTTTTATGGAATCCCATAATACAGTATGTGTAACCTGGAGTCACACCTTGTTCTAATTTTCCTTCTATTTGTGTTTAAATGCTTTTTAAAGACTGGGTGGGGAGGGAGCCTCCTCCTTGCTGAAGGAGCAAGGAAAATTTCCCTTCAGAAGTGAGTCCTGGGAATTTCACACACTTGCCAGCCCTGGCTGCAGCTTGTGCATTCTGGTTCTGGGTTGATATTCTGCTGTTTGTCTACTTTCAATAGCTTCCTTTAGTGGGGAGAGAAGGAGGCACTATCTTAGCCAAAAATGTGTGACTTTTAAAATCCTGGTTCCAGTTGGGCTAATGGGGTAAAAGTACAGGGGCCTCTGGGAATGCAGCAAAGAGTTAAGAGTGTTTACCTTTCAGGCAGGAGGCCCTGGGTTCAAATCCCATTGCTGATAAAATTAAAAAGGGGTGGAGGCAATGATGTTAACATGAAGTCAAAAGCAAAATTAACCCTGATTGTAATATATAGATAACAGAATGTGTAAATGTATACAAATAATAACAGAATATATAAATAACAGCAAAGCTTTAAGCCCATGGTTCTACATCCCTTTGCATCCCTTAGTGATGGGGATGGATGGTGGGGATGGGCAGGCCCTGCAGGCTTAGTGTGGCAGCAGGGGCATGTGTGTCTGGTCCCAGCTCTATGGTGTTCTGGTCAGGGGATCTGTCTCTGTCTTGCTGTTTGCCTTTTTCTCTTTTCCAGATGATTGGTGATCAATCTATCCAACTGCCGCTATGACAGTGGTGAGCATCTGTGTTCAAGGAGTCTGAGATGAGGACCGAAGGGTGGGAATGGGTCACTTCGGTGTATGCCCGAGGGTAAAAAAAAAAAAAAAAAAAAAAAAAAAAAAAACGGGTCTCCAATCCTTGCTTCTCCCGGCTCTATAAGCTATTAGAGGAAACTGAGAATCTCATTCTGAAAGTCACAGGTTTGGGCCACAGTGGTATGCTATAGTCTTACTTATTTATGTATGTATTTGTGGCAGGTTTCACTAAGTAGCTCAAGCTAGCCTGAGACTCACTGTGTCAAATGTTTTTTTTCCTCATTGATCAAACCTGGCTCTAGATTCTGGTTAAGGATTGGTATACATTCAGGGCTTAGTGTTTGGAGGTAAGCCAGAGGCCTGCTTCCTGGGGAAGGGGAGCCAGGTTAGGCCTAACATTCACCCCATATAGCCCAGGATGTATCCATCAACAACATGTCCATCCTCTACACTCTTTCTTTGCCCTGTCCACAAGGCAAGATGGCTTCTGGTCCCAAGGAGCCAGCTTTCTTGTTGCAGTACTTGGTCTGGCAGTGAGTAGGAAGGGACCTCCCCACATGGGGCTCTTTCCTGCTTGTACTCCCCAGTGCGCCGGGCAGCCCAGCAGTACGGCCTTCGAGAGGCAGGCGACAATGATGACTGGACTCTCTACTGGACGGACTACTCAGTGTCGCTGGAGAGAGTGATGGAAATGAAGAGTTACCAAGTATGCTCCTCCCTGGGTGTGTGGCGTGTAGCCAGTGCTGGCCCCATGTTTATCATGGCTCTCCAACAGCCCTGCTTCCTTCCACTCAGCCAGAATCGCTCATGAATTCCTGCTTCCTTTGCAGAAAATCAACCATTTTCCCGGGATGAGTGAGATCTGCCGCAAGGACTTGCTAGCCCGGAACATGAGCCGTATGCTAAAGCTGTTTCCTAAGGACTTCCATTTCTTCCCTAGGACCTGGTGTCTTCCTGCGGAGTAAGTGACCCTTTCCCTCTCTCCTCCACTTCCCATGGTTCTTATTCTCATTCATCAATCCCCTGGCTGCCACTCTCCCTTCCATATGACCTTCTATATTAATCCCTACTATCCCGAAATGAAAAGGACAAGGGTGTGTCCAAGGTTGAGAAAATGCAGGCTCTGCCTGTAAAATGAAATGACAATTTGGGGCTGAGTGCCCTGGAGGTTGGACCCACGGTTAGGATGGAAGTTTGTTCTGATCCTGAAAGCTGTTGGGTTTGAACTTGTTCCAGCCACTTGCCTGTGCAGTTTCTCAATTATTAAAGAGAAAGTGTGGTTGTGGTTGGCACCTAGAGCAGGAGCAAAGAAGGCTGTCTAGCCTGTCCCATTCGATGGCATGGGCAGCCACCAACCCTTCCCTTCAAAAGTAGACATCCACTCCCAGAATGCGCCATTCTCTAGACCAGGGGTTCTCAGCATCCCTAACACTGCAACCTTTCATACAGTTATTTAGGTTGTGGTGACCCCAACCATGAAATTATTTTTGTTGCTAATTCATAACTGTAATTTTGCTATGGTTATAAATCATATTGTAAATACCTACGTTTTCCCATGGTCTCAGGTAACCCCTATCATTCAACCCTCAAAGAGGTCACAGCCAAAAAAAAAAAAAAAAGACCTGGGGTACAATGAGGGCTTGGGAAAGGGTGGTGTCAGAGAAGTGTCACCACCGGAATTCTATTCAGATGGACTGGAGAGCTGAGTCAGCTGCTAAGAGCGCTGGTAGCCCTTGCAGAGGAAGCAGGTTTGGTCCCAGCATCTGCATGGTGCGTACACATACTTGTAGGCAAAACTCACACATAAAACTTCAAAAATTGAAAAAGATGGTTTAAAAAGCATCACATTCACACAGCCAGGAATCGCATCCTCTCCTCTCCACCTAGTTGTCCCTAAACTAAGAGCCCTTGGGTATATTTACCATTCGGACAACAGGGACTTCTTACAGAGTTCACAGCCACTGTAGTTCACTGACTTCCTCAGTGGGTAGAAAATTCCTTTGAGATAAAGTACAGAACACACACATAGCAAGGCTGAGACACATATAATCGATTAATTTGGCTTCTGTCCCTTGTTTTTTTTTTATTTTGTTTTGTTTTGTTTTTCGAGACAGGGTTTTTCTGTGGTTTTGAAGGCTGTCCTGGAACTAGCTCTTGTAGACCAGGCTGGTCTTGAACTCACAGAGGTCCGCCTGCTTCTGCCTTCTGAGTGCTGGGATTAAAAGTGTGCACCACCAACGCCCATCGGTTTCTGTCCTTTTTATCTGCCTTTCCTTTTTTTTTTGAGAAAAGACCTCACTATATAGACAAGGCTAGCTCAAAGTCCCAATCTGCCTACTTCAGCTCCTAAATGTTGGAAGTACAGGTATATACCTCCATGTTCACTTTTAATTTAGTTTCTTTCTTCTGAGTACATTTTTTTTTTTCTTTTTTGAGACATAGCATCATGTAGCCCAGGCTGACCTTGAATTTGCTATGTAAATAAGGATGTCCTTGAGCTGCTCCTCTTTGGCCTCTGCCTCCAAGTGTAGGGGTTATAGGTGTGTGCTAATTCACCCAGTTTATATGTTTGTGGAGAATGAACCCGGAGCTCCATACATGCTAGGTGGGTACTCTATCAGCTGGCCTACATCTCCATCCGTTAGCACACTTTCTTCAGAGTACATTCAAGGATGTCATTTGCCTCCCTGTATTCCTGGCTTAAGTGGAGGCATCACAGTGAGACACTGAAGTTCAGGCATGAGTAAGGGACGTGGTCCAGGTCACACTATTGTTAAGGCTTGAGCCCTAACAATACTCCAAATCTCCTGTGTGTAAACCCAAGTCAAGCTCCCTGGGGCGCCTCACATCACTCAGCCCAATCTGTGTCATGTAACTAAGGAACACGTGAGACAGGTCTCGTTATTCACATGGTATGGAAGATGGAGATGAGGAAGCCAGGCCAATTAAGCATTATACAGCTGGGAAGTGGTGTGGGCTGGGTTTGAGTCCAGTGTAAATTTCCTTGAAAGCTTGGTGTCCGTCTGCTGTTGGCTGGACCACTGAATGTCTGTCTATCAACACCAGGGCTTTGTCTCATCGGCAGCTTCTCTTTCCTGTTTTCATAAAAGCCTCCTGGGGCTGGAGAGATGGCTCAGCAGTGAGGAGCACTCTCGGCAGTGAGGAGCACTTGCTGCTCTTCCAGAGGACCCGGCTTCGAATCCCAGCACCCACAGATCAGGTGCCTCACAGCTGCCTGTAACTCCAGTCCCAGGGGAATCTAACACACTCTTCTGGCCTTCTCAGGCACTGGGCACAGACATGGTGCCAAGCCATACATGCAGACAAAACACCCATACACATAAGATAAATTAAAATAATAGTTTTCCTTCTCATCGCTCCCAAGCTAAAAGTGTGTCTTGTCCCCTCCCTACTGTGACAGCTGGGGAGATTTGCAGAATTACAGCAGGTCAAGAAAAAATAAGACGTACATTTGTAAGCCGGACTCGGGCTGCCAAGGGAGAGGCATATTTATCACCCGGACGGTGAAAGAAATCAAGCCAGGGGAGGATATGATCTGTCAGCTTTATATTTCAAAGGTACTTCCTCGCCTTGATTATATATTTATTGCCTACAGCAGCTTCGGGCTGTGAAATGAAGTCAGTGGAAGACAGAGGTAGAGATGAAACTGAGCCTGTCTTGTGCCTTGGGTTTGATCCGATCCAAGCCTTCTAAGTCACAATGTCCCTCGCTAGCCCTTGTGGCCTCACCAGGCCGACCTCCCCTTCTAGAGGATGAGAGCTTGGTTTGTGGAGGCCCCCACCTCATTTGAGAGAGGGGAGTCATCTAAGAGAGTTCATAGTCCCCGGCTTTTCTCTGACTGGGGGCAAAGGGAATCACATACTGCAGTGACATAGCCCACTGCAGAGACAGGTCCTTCTTCAAGTGTAGGTGACTGGGGAATGGGGGAGGGAGCACTGGCCTCCCAAGACAAAATGTTCAGGAGCCCCTTGCAAGAAGAACTCTTGGAAAAGGCACCTGTGATGTTGCCCAGGAAACATGTCCTGTCCTGGAACCATGTCCCAGTCACTTGGTTCAGTTGCTAAGACATCTCTTAGAGAGGGCTGCTTGCAGCATCCCATAGCTCAGGAACTCAAGGCATAGTGTGGTTTGGTGACCTCCCCAAGGTCACCTGTCAGGTCCCAAGCCCAAATCTCTTTATCCTGCTCCACACCCTGTACAAGCCTACACTTTACACCACTAGGCAATGCTGGAGCTGGCTCCCTCAAGAGTGAGGCGGGAGCTAGACCTGTCTTCACCTGTGACTGTCACCTCCAGATGCTTGCATGACTTCTCTCCTTCCCACCCAGCCCTTTATCATCGACGGGTTCAAGTTTGACCTGCGGGTTTATGTGCTGGTGACCTCCTGTGACCCTCTCAGGGTTTTTGTGTACAACGAAGGACTGGCTCGCTTTGCCACTACTTCCTATTCCCACCCCTGCACAGAAAACCTGGTGAGCCGAGGTGACCTGCTCCCCTCCCTTCCCCCTTAGCATGGTACTGTGGGGCTGGCAGGCATCAGAGGACTTCCTGTGTTCCTACTTCCATGGGTTTCTTGTTTCATCCTCCCAGGAGCCTTCCACGGTAGGGCTTAGTATCCCCAGTATACAGATGAGATTAAAACCTGCAGAGCAGCTGGGCATTGTTGGCGCACACCTTTAACCCCAGCATTTGCAAGGTAGAAACAGAAGGATCTCTGTGGTTCGAGGCCAGCCTAGTCTAAAGAGCCAGTTCCGGGACATCCAGGGTTGTTATACAGAGAAACCCTGTCTCAAAATAAAACCACAAAACCAAAATAAAACAAACAAATGGGGGTGGGGAGGGGGCGCGTGTGGAGAGATGGCTCGGTGGCTAAAAGCACTGGCTACTCTTCCAGAGGACCCTGGTTCAATTCCCAACACCTACATGGCAGCTCACAAATGTTCACAACTGTCTATAACTCCAATTCCAGAGGATCCAGCATCCTTACACTGACATACATACAGGAAAAATACCTACCAATGCACATAAAATAAATAAATTATTAAAAAAAAAAAACCCTGCAGAGTACAGGGGACTTGTCAGGGGTCACTCAGCTAGGAATTGGTGCATCTGGTACTTATGGCCAGGCCTCCCACACCAGAACTACAGTGCAGAGGTGCTCAAGGAGAGAAGGCCATGGGTAGGCTTCCAATCTTCCCATCTTCCGGTCTCAGAAAAAGTTGGAGTCTTTTACCCCAGGTTATGGGCTATCCCCTTTTAACCTCCTGTTTGCCTCTTTACATATGCCTATAAATTACCCCTTTCTCCCATCCCTTTTTAAGCTCCATAGAGTCGGTGGGGGGCAGTGCCTGGAGAGGACACAGGAGTCCTGGGCTTCAGCCTGACCCACAGTCTTGTGTCTCTTCCCCCAGGATGAAATCTGCATGCACCTGACCAACTATTCTATCAATAAGCACAGCTCCAACTTTGTTCAAGATGCTCATACTGGCAGCAAGAGGTAAGAGGGACGGATGTTTCCCTCATCTTTCCAGGATCCTTCCCAAACCCACTCAGTCCCTGCCAGGACTTCCGCCTTGGGTCACATGATCTCCACAAAGGCTGCTTTTCCTCTCAGCCCAGAACAGACACTTCATGTTGGCGCTCTGGACTGTTAATCATTAAAGGGAGGACATGCTGTAAACCCTAGGAGGCTGGGAGGAGGGAGATAAACATGAACCGTTTCCCCAGCAGAACACATACACACACCAAAACATACCTCGTTACAGTTGCCCTCCTGACGTTCCCAGATCAACAGCCTTGATTGATTGCTGGGCTGCCAAGTAAGAAGGACTTGCCAACTGTGATTCCTTGGGCTGTAGTTCCCTGGGGTGTTGGTCCATTACAGATTCTCAACTGATGTGTCATGATGTCCTGGGATCACCTGGCCTGTAGTTAGCCAGGGCTTGCTGAGGGCTTGGGATCTGCCCCCCCCCCCCCCCGCACAGCAAACACACACACACACACACACACACACACACACACACACGCAGCTTTTCTACTCATGTTATTGCCTCATCAGCTTGCATTTGAGAGAAAGGTAGATCAAGCTGTATGAGTGTCCCGGCAGAGACAGGGAGGCCAAAGGGAGCTTCTGGGTACCAGGGAAGATAGTAGGTGCCTATGTATTTGTTGTTACGTTTTCACCACCACACTGGCCAAGACATCGGCAGAACACTCAGGAACTTGGGTAGAGAGGGGTGTTAGGTCCTATCTCCATCTCACAAATGAGGAGACTGAGTCTCTGAGTGGTTCAATTGCCCAAGGTCACATCACACAGCTCTGAGTGCTACAGTTGGGCTAAGCAGCTCTGTTCACTGTGCCAGCCTTTTTGGGAGAAGGATGTATATATGGATGGCTGAGAAGAAGGTGTGTGTGTGTGTGTGTGTGTGTGTTGTACCAGAGCTGGCTTCAAATTGGCTTGTGGTTGAAGATGACTTTTACCTCCTGATCTTCTTGCCTTCACTTCCCCAGATGTTTTTGAGACAAGTCTTGAAATGTAGCTAAGGCTGTTAGAACTCACCAGGAAGCCCAGGATAGTCTGGAATTCCCAATCCTCCTGCTTCAAGGGCTGAGATTACAGGTGTGCTTTACCATGTACGAGTTGAGCCACCCCCTTTTCTAGAGGATGCCAGTGCCATGTTGTCTGAAACTCTTGTCTCTGCTTCTCATCTAGACTGTGGATGCCGTGGAACCTCCTGCATTAGTGTGTGTTCAGCATCCCTGTCTGGGAGGCCCAGCACATTCACCCCACTTTGACAGTTATCTGCTGAGTTAGCCTAGACAAGTTGCTTTGGCTCTGAATCTCCATCCCTGGGTTTAAGAGGAGGAGAACATGCCCTGTCCTGGCTTTTTCATGGCGTCCCCATGAGACCCAAATCACCCATGTTGCAGCCCAGTATTCTGGTACTGTTAGTTTTCGGAACTTTATTTGCCTTCTTTTATGAAAAGTGATGTCATCTCCAGGCATTGTGGTGCTGGGTTCTAGCACTCAGGTGCTCTCTACACTGAGGCAGGAGGATTATAAATTTCAGGCTACTTTATATGGGCTATATAGAGAGACCCTGGAGCTGAGAGAGAGAGAGAGAGAGAGAGAGAGAGAGAGAGAGAGAGAGAGAGAGAGGAGAGGGCCTCAGGCTCTCATGGACATGGTGTTATAGGGGCAGCCAGACCAAAATAAAATGTGGACACATCTGGTAATATTTTTAATTCCCCTCTGGCAGTACTGAATTCAACCCAGAGCCTCACACATGCTAAGCAGTATTCTAGCATGAAGCCTCAAATAACACCCAGCTTCTCTTCACCCCTCTGACCTCTGCTCTTCTCCTATGGAGCAGTCATCTGCCCCCAGGGCCTCTGCCCTGGCCTCTCCTGGTTCCATCTCTCTCCCCTGGAGGCCTATCTCTCCCCAGCTCAGCACATGGCCAGAGAGAGTCTGATTTTACAATAGCCACACCCACCACCCTTTCGGCCATGCACAGAGTAATCCACTTAAGAGGCCAGAAGCCTCCCAAGGGTCAGGTCTCCCATCACTATAGTACTGGGGGCCAAGGTTCTAACACTTGAACTTGGAGAGAAACACTCAGCCCATAATGTGTTCTGGCCTTCCAGTGCTTCTCGTATTGTCCCTTACCCCCTCCCCCTTACTTTCTTTTTTCTGCATCCCTCTCTCTTCCTCCTCCCCTCCCTCTCTCTGCTCTGAAAGCCCTCCTCCCCATCTGCTGAGACAATTTTCTCATACTATCTTGCCTCCTCAGAGTTGGCAACTGACACAAAGTGCACCTCTAGCCTTGCCCTACCTTCCCCCTGGGGTTCAAGGTCAAGAGGAGCAGGAATCCAGTCAGTCCCAGAGAAGGATAGGAACACTGTGAGGGGGTGGGCAGGGGACATGGGACTCTAGGGACAGACACCCTCGGGACACACACCAGATGTCTTCCCCCTTCATCGTGCCTGGCATGCACCTGATGTTAAAGCGAACTGAGTCATCACTGGGCCCTGAGTCATCAAGAAAAGGTTAGGATGTTGTATTATAAGAAGTTGGGGAACTGCATAGTCTATTTCAGGAAATTTTATTTGCCAATTAGGCAAATTAAATGTGCCCCCCCCTCCACTAAAAAGGCTTGGCTTTTCCAGTAGTATGGAAATCCCATTTATGCACAATGTTTCTACTTGAGAAAGGTAGGCAGAGAAATGGCCTCTGTGTTGAGAGCCTTTATCTGTCCTGGGTGTTGACTCCTTCTGTGGTCCTCAGGCATCCTATGACAGAAGTGGCTATTGCACAGACCCTCACTTGCACAGCAGTCCCTTAACATAAGCTCCTTGGCCGGCAAGCCTGCTCCTTCCTTTCTGACCCTTCACTGGAGTCCAGTGAAATGATTTTTTAAAAATAACTTTTTTTTTGTCAGATAAACAATTTAATTCCAGCCCTTGAGGTGCAGAGGCAGGGGAATCTCTGGATCAGAGGCCAGCCTGGTCTACAGAATGAGTCCCAGGACAGCCAGAGATACACAGAGAAACCCTGTTTCAAAAAACAAAGAAACAAAATGTTAATCACATTTATTTTTTTATATATTATTCATATATTATTGGAGGGGAACACCATCGTGGGGGAGGGGGTGTGCCTCGGTTAGAAGACAGTCTATAGAAATCAGCTCTCTCCTTCCCTTATGTGGATGCTGAGAGCAAACTCTGCCCATCAGCCTTGGCAGCTGCCTCGGTCTATGGCTGGGCCATCAGGCACCACAGGCTGCCAGAGACTGAGAGGGCTCCTAGAATGTGGGATTTTGTGTTTACACAGGAGACAGTATAGTTTGCCTGGGACAGTTGGGAACTCTAGGTGTAGAAATGCCTTGGGTCTGCTGTTCTTTGTAGGGGGCCCTAAAACAGGATTTTGTTTTCAGTGACCCAGAATCTCTTCAGATGACTGAAGGAAGTATGACCAAGGTGTCAGTGTCCTCCAAAGGCTTCCCACATATTTCTAAAGGTCACCAAAGGCTGAGAAACTACTGCTGCTGAAGCTGAAGCAATAGAGTAATGTGAGGAGTGTGTGTGAGTGTGTGTGAGTATGTGTGTATGTGTGCGTGTGAATATGAGTATGTGTGTGTCTGAGTGTGAGTGATTATGAATGTGTGTAAGTATGTATGTGTGAGTGTATGTATGAGTGTGAGAATGTGAGTGTGTATGAGTGTGTGAGTGTGTATATATGAGTGTGTGAGTGTGAGTGTGTATGTGTGAGTATTGAGTGTGTATGAGTGTGTGTGAATGTGTGTGGTTGTGTATGAGTGTGAGTGTATTGTGAATGTGAGTGTCTGGGATTGTGTATGGGTGTGTGTGGGTGTGTATGTGAATTTGAGTAATGTGGTTAAATAAGGATCAGGATAAACAAATAGGCCCAATAGATGTTTATTCAGGGAGAAATAACTTACAACCTAGACAGATGAACACCAGGAAATTTAACCCGATTCTCTCCTGTCCGAGTCACGCCAGAAAGAGAGAGCCTTTCCTGGCCCCCTCCGACCTCCTTCCACAGGTCACTCCGCCCATGGCTCCACCCCCAATGGGCGTGGTCAGTGCCACAGAACTATCTCATTTGAGTGTGTATGAGTGTGTGTGGTTGTGTATGAGTGTGTGAATGAATGTGTGTGAGAATGTGTGTGAGTGTGTATGAGCGTGTGTTCCCGTGCATGCATGTTCATTCTTGGAGCTCACCATCCAATACCCAGCCCATTTTTCAGCCCACAGATTTTTTTAAAAGAATGTTCCCTAGCTACATATCTGTGCCTACCCTGAGGTTCTGGAGGCCTGAGGAGTCTGTTGCTGTGACTCTCAAAGGACTTTTATCCAGCCTCAGTGCCAGTCTGGCTTCTGGGTGTACTTCACCATTCATCTCCAGAAGTTTCTGGTTTTCACCATGCCATGGTGTTGGTTGGCCAGGAATAACTCTCCTGCCTCTTGCCCTGCGTTTCCTTTTCAGGAAACTCTCCACCTTCAACTCGTACATGAAGACCAATGGCTATGATGTAGAGCAGATATGGAGGGCCATCGAGGATGTCATCATCAAGACACTCATCTCGGCTCACCCCGTCATCAAGCACAACTACCACACCTGCTTCCCCAGCCACACGCTCAACAGCGCCTGCTTTGAAATTCTGGGTTTTGACATCTTGTTGGACCGCAAACTCAAACCCTGGCTGCTGGAGGTAAGGAAGTTAGGGGTATAAGCTGTCTCTGTCGCTGGGGTGCCTCAGCCTTGGGGACTCTGCCTTCCTGACTCACCTCGATTGCTTCAGTCAACTTCCCCTGCCACTCCTTTACATGGTGCTTGCTGTTCTTGGGACATGACACTTAGCTTGAGAAGTGGCCAGCAGAGGGGGGTAGACGGCTAGAAATTAGAGAACTCCTTGTGCCTTCCTGAGGTCCAACCAGATTTACATGATTGTATTGACCCCTCTGCTTCCTGTGTTTCCCACAAAGAAGCTGTTCCTTATCAAACTTGCCTGCCAGTAATTGTGTCAAGTGGGAGCATCTTTGCCTGGCTCTCAGGGACCAGTTCCAGACACTGGCATAGTGGATTCTGTCATCACAGTGGAGAAGCCCAACCCTATGCTGTGGGTAGGAAGAGGCTGTTTGGAGGTCCCACCCCAAAGACAGTATGAGTGAGCACAGCAGGAGCAAGCCTCCAGAAGCTGCTGGAGATCCACAAATGTCACACACATGTAAAAGAGCAATACTGACTCTCCTGTGGGTGGGAACTAGGCTCTAGCCTTCAGCCACCTCTCCTTCAATCCTGTTGGTTTCCAGAAAGAATCACCCTGCTTCCAAACTTGGAGTTGGCCTCTGTGTTTTCCTCTGTATTTCTCTTATTCTCTCTCTCTCTTTTCCTCCCTCCCTCTCTCCCTCCTTCCCTTTCTTTCCTCACTGTGTAGCCCTGTCCTTGTCCAGCATGAAACTCACTCTATAGACCAGACTGGCCTTGAACTCACAGAGATCCACCGGCTTCTGCCTCCTGAGTGTTGGGATCAAGGCATGCACCACCAACACTTACTCGGCTCTCTTCCCTCTTTTTCCCTTCCGTACTCCTCCCTTATTCCTCCTGACCTTCCTTCTTTCCTACCTTTCGTTTTTATTTACTTGTTTGTTTGAAATAGGGTGCCCTTTTATAGCACAAGCTGTTCTGGAACTTACTGTGTGGCCCAGGTTGGCCTCAAACTTATGACTCTTCTCTTGCCTCAGCCTCCTGAGGGGATTTACAGGCATGAGCCACTTAATCCTGTCTTAATCCTGCCTGGCTAGCCCTGTCACTTTAGACCTCTTGCTCCCATTCAGGGCTGTGGGTCTGTGGAGGGCACCGAACATGTGAGAGGACACACGTCCACGTGACAGAGGGACCGTGGGGAGGGAACTCTTGCTTCCAGTGGAGAAAGGCCTGAAATAAAGAGCTGGTGACAGTGGTATGCAGCCTTTAATCCCACACCCAGGAAGCAGGCTCATCTCTGTGAGTCCCAGGTCAGCCTGGGCTACATAGTGAGTTCCAGGCCAGCAAGGGAATAGAGAGACCCTGTTTCAAATACAAACATGCAAAACCCCACCTGCTTACACTAGAGGGTGTTCTACTTCCTATTCTGCCTGCTTTCTTCCCAGTGGTTCCAGTGTAGACCTCTCCCTTCCACTCACCTGGCTAGCTGGGGATGAGACGGGCCTTGGCAGTACCTGGAGGTGGCATCTTGGCCTCACCTCTGCTTTCGCACTGGTGAGCCCCATCCCCAAGCTGCTGTCTTGTCTTCACAGGTCAACCATTCTCCAAGCTTCTCCACCGACTCCAAGTTGGATAAAGAGGTGAAAGACAGCCTGCTCTATGATGCACTGGTCCTCATCAATCTGGGGGGCTGTGACAAAAAGAAAGTCTTGGAGGAAGAGAGACAGCGGGGACGGTTCCTGCAGCAGTGTCCTTCTCGGGAGATGAGGTACAGCATTGTCCCTGGCCCCAGAAAGACTGGCTGTCCTGGTCCCAATTGTGACTAAAGTCTACCAGTTGCGTGGCCTTTTCATCACTTCCTTAAGCTTTGGGGATCTTTTTGTGAAGGGGAACTACATATACATAAGAGATTAGGGGGACTGAATGACATCATCTCATGAAGCCTTACCCTAGTGCCCGGCACCATAATTGTTAGAAGTTAAGGGTGTTTTTTGTTTGTTTGTTTTCTTTTTGGTTTTTTGAGATAGGGCTTCTCAGTAGCTTTGGAGCCTGTCCTGGAACTTGCTCTGTAGACCAGGCTGACCTCGAACTCACAGAGATCCACCTGCCTCTGCCTCCCCAGTGCTTGGTTTAAAGGCATGCATCACCAACCCTCAGCAAAGTTAAGGTTCTTGACTATTGGGTTAATGAGATGTCTCAGTCGGTAAAGGCATTTGCCATCAGCTGTACATATGAATTCCATCCCTAGAGACCACATGATGGAAGGAGAGAAGCAACTTACACAAGCTGTCCTTTGACCTCCGTGTACCCTCTGCGGCATGTATAAACATACATACATACACACTAAATATTTTTTTAAAAATTCCTAATAGTTATCTTTTGTTGTTGTTTTGGTTTGTTTTTCAAGACAGGATTTCAGCCAGATGTTGGTGATGCATGCCTTTAATCCCAGCACTCTGGAGGCAGAGACAGAGGGATCTTTGAGAGTTCAAGGCCAGCCTGGTCTACAGAGCTAGTTCCAGGACAGGCTCCAAAGCAATACAGAGAAACCCTGTCTCAAACAAACAAACAAACAAAAAAGACAGGGTTTCTCTGTGAAACAGTCCTGGCTATCCTGGAACTCACCCTGTAGACCAGGCTAGCCAGGCTAGCCTTGAACTCACAGAAATCCAATTGCCTCTGCCTCCTGAAATATGGGACTAAAGGCATGTACCACCTAAGCCTGGCTCCTAATTGTATTTTACTGTGAAAGCACTTAAATAGTAAACCTGAGGTCCCGGGGAAGAGAGAGAGTTAGAGAAAGTATCTGGCTTGGAATTGGTCTCAAGCTCAAGGCCTTACATAGGCAAACACTCAATCACTGAGCTATTCCCTGCCTTTTTGAGACAGGATCTGTGTTACAATCTTTAACTTGAGTGCCTGTGTGCATATTTGTATGAGTGTGTATGGTATGTCCACATGCACAAAAGCCAGAGAAAGACATCAGTATCCTATTCTATCAGTCTATCTCGTTGCTCTGAGATTAAGGGTCCTTTGCTCACTCTAGAGCTAGACTGGTGTTCAGCAAGCCTCAGTGATAGTCCTGTCTCCACCCACTTCCGCATCAGATTTTCAAGCTGGTTGCAAGCTTGCTTATGTGTGCTCAGCCACGCCCAGCTGTTTATGAGAATACTGGGATCTGACTGAGGATTCTCAAGCTTGCATACAATCTTTCCAGCCAGAACTTGTTTTCCATCTTTTTGTTTTTTTGATGCATTCTTTGTTTGTTCTTCGTGGTTTGTTTTTTGAGATAGCATCAAGTGTACCTGATACCACGATTCCTGTCAGGAAACTGACATGGATAAGTTCAGCTGGCTGGTGACAGCTCTGAACTCCAGAGTCCAGGGTACCTGCTGCCTGGGACTCCAGAAGGCCTTCTACTGTGCTGCTGTCCCTGATGCCCTCGGGAATAAGGTGTTAGCTATCACACCAAAGGCCTCCTTTGTGTTACTTGGTTGGAAAGCCCAGTGGCTCTTGACATCCCTGCAGTACACTGTGTAGGAAGGTTACCCTGCTACTTTACCTCATCTCCTCTTCCTGGAGGGTGGGGTGAGGAAGCGTGAGAGCTTCCTGTCTCATAAAGGCCTATTAAGTCCATCTAAGAAGACCTCAAATTTACCAAAATACAAGCTCCTATTCTCCAGAGAAGGGTAATGGGGGCAATGAATGGGAAGGTGGCAACAGTCTGCCTGGTCTGACTATGTCAAGGGGGAAAAAGGTTTTACTCACAAAGGGAGAGACTTTGGTTGAGCTGTCTGACCCTTGCAAGTGGCTCCCTCTTACATTGTGATGCCGACTGTCCCAGGAGAGCTAGAACCCCCCCTTTCAGAAACATTCTTGCTCTTACTTAACAAGTACTGATCAACCACTATAATGTTCAAGGCCCTAGATGACACCCAACTTGTACATGTCCCTTCCAAGAAGCCACAACTGCAGCCCTGTATTCTGTTTCCCAATAGGATGGAGGAGGTCAAGGGTTTCCAGGCAGTGCGTTTACAGAAAACGGAGGAATATGAGAGGAAAAACTGTGGCGGGTTCCGGCTCATCTACCCTGGTCTTAATTTGGAGAAGTATGAGAAGTTCTTCCAGGACAATAGCTCCCTCTTCCAGAATACTGTTTCTTCCAGAGCCAGGGAGCTGTATGCCCGGTAGGAAGGCTTCCTCTCAGGCTGAGGTGGGCTGGCTGGGTGTTGTGGTAACCAACTGTGCTTGATCTGCTCCTCTGGGTGGCTCAAGGTGGCAGGGAGAACTTCTGTGTCCCAACCTTGCAGCTGACAGAAGAACATTCGGTCCAGGTCTCACAAAGACCAGGAACTGGAAGATTCCACAGTACAGAGAGTAGTTAAGTAGATGAGTGCTGGGCTGTGGTGGGGCACTCCTTTAATCCCAGCACTTGGGAGGCAGAGGCAGGCAGATCCGTGTGAGTTCGAGGCTAGACTGGTCTACAGAGTGAGTGTGAGGACAGGCTCCAATACTACACAGAGAAGCCCCATCTCAACCAAAAAAGGGAAGAAAGAAAAAAAAAAAAAAAAAAAAAAAAAAAAAAGATGAGCTACTGTCCCACTCACCTTGGGACAGATGCCTGCCTCACCACCTCAGAAGCTGGTTACGTATCCAGGCTATATGAAATCCAAGAATTTGAAGGGAGCCATCCTGTTAGGTCCAGTCCCCCCACCAAGCACCTCATTTATGAGAGGGGATGTCAGAGCAAGATGACACCAAACAATTACCCTGTCCCCTGACTCCTGAGACCAATTGATGCACTCTGGTATACCACCTTTGGTCCAGTCCCAGGATCCACTGGCCAGAGAGCCCAGTATATGAAGTGGCCCAATATGGGGCACTTGGCCTTAGCTCTCCTACCTAAGCCTTCTTTCCAGAGAAGAGGGAAGTGAATGGTCCCCTTTATTGTGCCAACTTCTGTAAGGAGTAAGGTTTTTTCGCTTGCCGTTGGTTTTGTCTCGCCGCCGCACCAGCTCCAATTAACACATTGAGACTCTGTATTTGATATAATGCTGTTGGCCAGATAATAGTTTCTTATCGGCTAGCTCTGTCTTAAGTATTAACCCATTTCTGTTAATCTAAGTATTTACACGTGGTTTCACCTTACTGGGGAGTGAGGCAGGCGTGTGGTCTCCCCAGTCTCTCCATGCTGACTCCTCCTTACTACTTCCTCTTTCCTCCTTGTCTCCTAGTCCCTCCTATCTTCCTTTCCTATTGGCCAACAGTGCTTTATTCATTAAACCAGTATGAGAAACATATACAGAATGACATCTCCAATTAAGACTCTGTATTTGATATAATGCTGTTGGCCAGTTACTTGTTTCTTATTGTCTAGTTCTGTCTTAAGTATTAACCCATTTCTGTTAATCTAATATTTCCACGTGCTTTCATCTTACCGGGGAATGGGGCCTGTGTCTGGTCTCCCCAGCATCTCCATGCTGACTCCTCCTTACTACTTCCTCTTTCCTCCTTGTCTCCTAGTCCCTCCTATCTTCCTTTCCTATTAGCCAAAGTGCTTTATTCATTAATCAGTATGAGAAACATATATACAGAATGACATCTCCCATCAAACTTCCTTGAAAGGATACTATTCCCCAGTATGGGCATGGTTGGAAGGACAGACAACTCTTTCTCACCCACGCTGTTCCTTGGTCTTCAGTCACTTATGCAGGAACTGTTTCTCCATTCCATCTTTTTTAAAAGTTATTATTTATTTTACTTTGTCTGTGGGTGTTTTGCCTGTATGTATGTCTATACAGTGTGTGCATTCAGTGCCTGCAGAATCTAAAAGAAGGCATCAGATCCCCTGGAACTGGAATTACAGACAGTAGTGAGCTGCCATGTGGGTGCTGGGACTCGAACCTGGGTCTTATGGAAGAGCAACAGGTGCTCTTAACCACCAAGCCATCTCACTAGCCCCTCTCCATTCCATTTTATCTATCCTCCAAGTAGGATGCTTTTTGTCCCCTAACCCATGACACTCACCTGTTCTTCAATCAACAGGCAACTGATCCAGGAGCTGAGGGAGAAACAGCAAAAGAAATCATTCCTAAAGAAAGAGAAGAAGGCAGAGATGCAGGGTGAGTCTGCCGGTGATCAGAGGAGAGACAAGATCGTGAAAACTGGGCGACAGAGACAGCTGCAGAAGAGCAAGACAACCACCCGTCCCCCCAAACAAGTAAATTCAGATGAGGGGGGTTTGTGTAAAACCAGCACCCTGCCCCAGCTTGGGCCGATCCGTGGGAGGGTGCCACGGAGACCTCTGCTCCGAGCACAGACACACTGATGGGCTGTCTGAAGGGCTGAACTACAGGAAGGGGTCTAGAAGGCACACAGACTGGCATCTGTTAGAGGATCCCTTTTCCATCCTGTCAATAGAGGATGCTCACTGGTCTTTCCTTCTTGCCTTTGGGAGTAAGAGCGGTCTGGCTGTGCTGGGGGCCGAGCCTGGACCCACGTAGGGAGTGTGCTCTCCACAAGTGCGTCTACTTACCACCCTCATCTCTGACCTTGGTGGGAATGTCCCCACAGCAGGCTCCTCAGGAGGGCTGCTGGGAGATGTGACCCTCAGAACACTTCATGGGGACCACTAAAAAGAGCTGGGTGCTTCCTTCATGCTCACTTGCTGCACAGGGTGGCCCAGCCCCTGTTGAGCTCCTCATTGTCCGGGATCTAAGTTTCTGACTTCTACCTCCTCTGACCCCTGGTTCTCCTCTACCTCAGCGAAAAGACACGGATGACTTTTCATTACCTCTCCTTGTCACTCTTGGGTTTTATTTTGGGGGGGTTGTTTGTTTGTTTGTTTGTTTGTTTGAGGTAGGGGTCTCATGTAGCACAGGCTGACCCCAAACTTGTTTTGTAGCCCAAGATAATAGAGAACGGATTTTCCTGCCTCCACCTCTCAAGTGCTGGGATTACAGGCTTGAGACACAAGGCCTGGTTAGTACAGGGCTGGAGATCAAACCAGGGCCTCATGTATGCTAGGCTATTTATTAATCCAGTACTATATTGCCAGCCTCCCTCTGATCTTTTACTTTTTCAAAATGCCTCCCTCTCACTGTGGAGACCTGCTGACTGGCCTGGGACTCACTATGCAGACCATGCTCTAATGTGTGGTCCTCCTGCTTCTGTGACCGGAGTGCTGGGGTTGCAGGAGTTGTGTGCCACCATGCCTGTTCATCTCCTTAGTCTTGAAGACTCGCTTGGAAGGACGGGACTAGAGCTGGGTTGGGGACTGCTTGGGAATCTGATGAAAGCTGTGGAATGACTTGCCATCAAGTGTATACACTGTGCTGCTTGAAATCTCAATTTTAAGTGGCTAACGACTCCCTCCCCCAGTCGAGCCATGAGCTTTGTTTTGTAAGGGCTCTGGAACCCCCGGGTTAAGAGCTCCAGACTAGACAGGCTTTGGTGCCTCATCCTTTCTCACCACCCCTTTTGCACCTTCCCTGGGGTGCAGCTGCATCTGATGGTGGACAGGACTTCGTTCCCCACGGGCTGTGTGTCTGCTTTCCTCCTTCCCAGTGCTACCACCCAGTGACTTTAGTATCCTGCACACCCGGCTTGTTCTTGAACATCAGAGGCATACGGAAAAATGAAACAGACAGTAGCCTCCACCAGGGCTCCAAGAAGGAGGCCAGCCTCGCTCCCTGCGAGCCCATGTCAGCAAGGCACTACAGTTCTGTCCCTGACCTAAGGAATTCAAATCTCAACTGCTGTGGGCCAGAGCTCTGTAAGTCCAATTCCAAAATCAAGGAAGTGAAGTCGGCCCTTTCATTGAACATAATCAGCAATAATACCCAGGTAAGTAGAGGGATGTGCTCTGGGTGGGTCTGGTAGGAGTCTTGCCTTCTGGCCTTTTCTCTGTCCCTAACTTGTAGCTCTTTGAGTACCCACCGATGCTACCCAAGTCTCAGTTTCCCTGGCTGTGAAGCCCAGACAGTGGGATGGCATGGCCTGCTGGGAAGGTTAGCCTGGGATGGCTTTCAGGGCTGTCCTCCACTTGTCCTTTTCATGGGCCAGCTGCCATTTGTGCTAGTTTCCTCCAGTGCTGGGTCTCAAATCTAGACACTTAAAACAGCACCATGTGGCCTCTCACGGTTCTAGAACCAAAGAGTGGGCAGGCCAGGTTCCGTTTGAAGTCTCTGGAGAAAAGAAATCCATCCCATTCTGATGGCTGCTGGCAAGCCTTGATCAGTGACAACACTGATTGCCTATGTTGTCACATGGCCTTTTCCTTATGTTTCTTCCACATATGTTTTCATGTTTTGGTTGTTGGGTTTGTTTGTTTGTTTGATTGATTTTTTGAGACAGGGCTTCTCTGTGGCTTTGGAGGCTCTCCTGGAATTAGCTCTTGTAGACCAGGCTGGTCTCGAACTCACAGAGATACGCCTGCCTCTGCCTCCCGAGTGCTGGGATTAAAGACGTGTGCCACCACCGCCTGGCTTGTTTTGTTTTTCAGACAGGGTCTTACTGTATAACCCTGGTTGGCCTGGAATTCCTTGTATAGACCAGACTGGACAAAAATTCTAGAGAGCCTCCTGCCTCTGCCTCCCGGGTGCTGGGATTAGAGGTGTGTGCCACCACAGCTAACAGTAAACTGCTTTTTATGAGATAGGCAAGGTGAAATGTGCCTGTGGTTCTAGCTGTCTGAAAGGTTGCTGAAACAGGAGGGTTGCTTAAGCTCCAGAATTGAGGGCTAGTCTGTTCCACCTTAAATACTTCCTTTAGTGTGTGTGTGTGTGTGTGTGTGTGTGTGTGTGTGTGTGTGCGCGCGCGCCTGAGTGTGTTTCCACCACTTAAATACAACAGATCCCCTGGAACTGGAGTTTTAGAAAGTTGTGAGCCACTATGTAGGTGCTGGAAACTGAACCTGGGTCTTCTGCAGAAGCATCAAGTGCTCTTAACTGCTGAATCATCTCTCTATCCCCCAGGCTATCTGATCTTAAAACACACACACACACACACACACACACACACACACACACACACACACACACGCCTAAGTGATGGTGGTACACGCTGGCAATCCCAGCGCTCCAGAGGCAGAGGCAAACAAATCTCTGAGTTTGAGGCCAGCCTGATCTACAGAGCAAGTTCCAGGGCAGCCAGGACTACACAGAGAAACCCTGTCTTGAAAAACCAAAGGAAAAAAAAAAGTATATATAATAAATTCACAAACACAGAAACAAGTATAAAATCTTTATATAGTACTCCCTCCATGTTCATAAATTCTACATCCACAGGTTCAGTGATCTACATATCAAAAAATATGTTTTAAAAAATGTAGTTACCAAACATACAGACTTTGTTTTTTAAAGTGCATTCATGTGTGTGTGCCTATGTGTGCACACTCCAGACAACAACACTGTGTGTCACTCATCAGGTACCATCCAACTTAGTTTTGGGTACAGAAACTCTCACTGGCTTGGAAGTCACCAAGTAGACTAGGCTAGCTGGCCCAAGTGCTCCAGAATCCTCCTGTCTCTATGTCTCCTCTGGGAAGATTTCAAGCACAGGCTTTTTAAACAAAACAAGTCACCAGAGTGAGTTCTAGACCAGACTGGGCTACAGAGAGAAACCCTGTCTCAAAGGCAATGGTAAAAGTGTAGACTCAAATCACTTGAGAAACAGGCAGAAAGAATGTGCCTGTTGTGTGTTGTGTTTGGCAGAGACTGTCAGGGATGCAACAGAAATATGAAAAAAGCAAGACTTCATCAAATTCAGAATCTCTTAGCAAAGGCAATAATAAAGAGTAAAAAGTTGACCTCCAGGGTGGAAAATCAGTCTGCAAACCATACATTTGATATATTTTTTTTTAAAAAAAAAACTCTGCTCTGGCTGCAGCCAGTAAGCAAGCATCTTTAAGAGCTGTTGAGATGGCTCTGAAGTGGGCTGGAGAGATGGTTCAGGGGTTAAGAGCACTGGGTGCTCTTCTAGAAGACCCAGGTTCAATTTCCAGCACCCACATGGCCGCTCATAACTGTAACTCCTGTTCCAGTTGATCTAACATCTTCACACAGGCAAAACACACACCCTCATACATGCAGGCAAAATACCAGTGCACATGAAATAAGAATAAATAAATTATAATGTTTTTGTATGCTAATGGAACAATGTTTGGGTCATCCTAGAGCCAACTTGTAGACAGATATTGGGGTTCAAGCTGAAGATCAGAAAAGCAAAGCAGATAGCCACTAGAGAGTTCTTACCTCTACCACAGGTGGGGCGAGCCTGTCCTCAGGGTGACTACAGACTGAATACACTGCACTCCCCACCCACCTTATATTCATTGTCTTCCTCTCTAGAGCACCACTTCTGTGGCTAACTAGTGTGGCTGCTGGGATTAAAGGTGTGTGCCACCACTGCCTGGCCTGTATGGCGAGCTTTGCACTCTGATCTTCAGGCAAGCTTTATTTGTTAGACCATAAACAAAAGGTTCACCACACCAACTTTTTAAAAAAATAATTTATTTAACTTTGTGTTGATGGAAAGGTATCAGATCCCTTGGAACTGGGGTTACAGACAGTTGTGAGCTGCCATATAGATGCTGGGAATTAAACTCAGGTTCCCTGGGAGAGCAGCCAGTGCTCTGAACCACTGAGCCATCTCTCCAGCCCCTTTTGTTTTGGTTTTTTTTTTTGAGACAGGTTTTTCTCCTGGAACTCACAATGTAGACCAGGTTGAATTGATAGAGATCCATCTGTCTTTGCCTCCTGAATGCTGGGATTAAAGGCTTGTGCCACCATACCCTGCCCAGAGTCAACTTTTTTTAAGACTAATTTTTAAAGAAATGTATGCATACCTGTCTGTGCCTGTTTGCATGTGCACCATGTGTGTCAGGTGTTTACAGAGACCAGAGAGGTCATTAGATGCCCTGGAACTGGAACGGCCAGTGCTCTTAACCACTGGGCCACCTCTCCATCCCCTGAGGGCAGCTCCTAACTCACCACTGTGACCATTTCTACCTTTTCTTCCTGGAGGAGCTAGAAGGGAGCCCTCTGCCTCCTGCCATCTCATTCCAGGCTGTTTTCTCTTTCAGCCTTTAACATCTGAAGAAACTTCCCCAGAACCCACAGCCCAGCTCTCAACCTCTCTAGAATCCCTGGCAAGCCTGAGCCTGACCACCAGCCCTGAGTGCAGCAGCCCCGACAGCATCCAGACAGCCTCCTATAGGTGCAAGCAGCAGAGGGCCCCCTACAGGCTGATCCAGGAGAAAAAATCCAAACCTCCCATGTCTTCCAAACCCAGGAATTTGGACCCGAGTTGGACCTTGCTAAAGAATGAGGTGAAGAGGCAGTATCTGATGTCAGAGATACTGCAGAAGGTTCAGATGAAGAAACACGCCTTGTTCCCGGCTCCCAAGTCACGTGAGTGCTGCTGTAGGCAGAGTGTGCCCCGAGCTTAAGCATGATGGTCAGCTTTCTCTCACAGTTTGTTCTAGGCTCATGGCTTTCAGAGGTTTAATTGATGACAGGACAGACCTATTGCTTTTAGGTCTTGGATGTGAGAGAACCTGGGTAGCAATGATGGGGAGGGTGTGGTGAATGAAACTCACTCATTCCATGGCTAGCCACCATAGCTTCCATTTCCTGTCAGGAACATCAGGCAACAAAGCCTCTGGGGGGGGGGGGGGACCAACATTCGGCATCCGTACTATAGGATCAGGGCCAGGACTGGTGGCACATGCCTGAAATCTCAGCAATCAGGAGGTTGAGACAAGAGGATCAGGAGTTTGTAGCTAGCCTGAGTTACACAGCAAGATACCCGTCTTCTGGCCTCATTACACACCAGTACCCATGCAGTTCACATATATGGGCATATATACATCATAAAAACAATTAAAATTTATTTTAAATAATTTTATTTATTTATCGATTTTATGTGTATGGGTATTTTGTCTACATATATATCTGCATATCATGTTTGTGCTGGATGCCCTTGGGAGCCAGAAGAGGGAGGTCGATTCCCTGGGATTGGAGTGACAGTTGCAAGCCACTCTATGGGTACTTGTATTTGAACCTAGGTCCTCTGGAAGAATAGCCAGTGTCTTAACCATTGAATTATCTCTAGCCCCAACAAATACTTTTTTTTCAGGACAAGGTTTTTGTCTGCAGCCTTGGCTGTCCTGGAACTCACTCTGTAGACCAGGCTGGCCTCAAACTCACAGACTCCCCAGTGCTAGGATTAAAGGCTTGCATCACCAGCATTAATTTTTTTAAAAAAGATAAATAAGAATTAACATGGCTGACGAGATGGCTCAGCAGATAAAAGGGTGTTTGCCATATAACCCTGGCAACCCAAATTTGATCACTGGAGCCTACATAAAGGTGGGTGGGAAAAATTGACTCCATGAAATTGTTTTCTGACCTCCACATGTGTGTTGCCATACCGACCCATACATATGCACACATGCACAATAATAATAAAATGTTATTAATTGCAAAATTAAAGGTTGGAGAGATGGCTTAGCAGTTAAGAACACTGGCTGTGTTTGACCCAGATGCAGTTTCCAGCACCCACGTGGCTGCTCACAACTGTAACTTCAATTCCAGGGAATGTGATGCCCTTCTCTGGCCTCCATGAGCATCAGGCAGACGTGTGATACACAGACAGACTTATAGGCAGTACACCCATACACATAAAAAAATTAAATAAAAATTACCCCCTAAAACCACAAAACTAACATTGACAAGAAAATTCAAACTATATGGCATTAGAGAGAGAGAGAGAGAGAGAGAGAGAGAGAGGAACCAGTTGGGAGAAGCCCCAGGTTCAAGAGCAGGGTTAGACCCTTCTGTCTGTTTGATGATGGAGACATGGCTCATGCTCCCAAAGAGTCTCCATCCCCATTGGGCAAAAGAGTGCTGGCTGACAGTCAACATTCCCAGGACTTGTTCACATGAGACCCATTGTCTGTGCCAGTCTTGGCAAGAAGCAATGGCTGACTTAGGTTCCAAGACCGTTAGCAAGTTTGGGGACATGGGAGCCTCCTGGTAGGTGACCTTCACCTGGAGTTTGTGCTGACTATAGCAGCACAAACTGATGATGCCAATGACTTTGCCTTTCCAGGAAACCCATCCTTGCCCAAGGAGTGGTGCTCCCACAGCTATAACCCTGTCAGGAAGAGAGAGATGGGTGTGCCCTCCGTCCTCTTCCTGCAGGGTTCTCACAGCCATGCTCAATCTCTGGATGACCTTCTGATAGTTGCCACTCAGGCTCGTCTGGACCCTCGGCCTATCAGAGGCCATTCGGGTACTCCAAGGGACCCAGGCACTACAAGCGACCCAGGCACACAGGACCCGAAGCACACCGCTACTGCCTGATCGCTGGTCAGAAAGGATGTGAGAGCTTAGGTAGGAGCCTACTCTTCTTCCCTGGATGGGTTGGTGCCCTGTCAGTGCCTCTCTTGATCTTTCTGGAGTGTTGCGTATGTAAGAGGGTGAATGGGTTGATGAAGACCTATAGGTGAGTCAACAGCTGGGGTTCTCCTCCAGATGTGACCCTTGCCCGGCCTCTTTCTATAGTGCTGAACCGCCTCCACCACGAGGTGCAAGTTAATCACTGGCATCAAAGGCTGGCCCTGTAATGAGGAAGGAAGGGACAGAACGACAGGACAGAGGAACCTGGTGGATTCCACTGTGTGGAAGGACCAGGGAAACCGTAAGGAGCGCTCTTTCAAAGCCTAGGCGCTTCTGAAGGAAGGGTCACACACAAAATCCACGAGAAGAGGCTGGCGCTGCTCGGAGCTCTGCCACCACCCTCATTCCTGCCACAGAAACCAGGTTCTTACCAGACATGCTCACCTGGCCCCCTGGTTACCAGTGTCTCACACTGTAGTATGGCCTTGAGTAATCATGGCCTGCAGGCATCGCCTGGGCGTTTGTGAAAAAGAAAAAAAAAAAAAAAAAAAAAAAAAAAAAAGCCCATGTTCTAGAGCCAGTGAGATGGTTCAGCAGATAAAGGTGTCTGCTGACAAGCCTGATGGCCTGAGTTTGATCCCTGGGACTGACATAGTGGAAGGGGAGCACCGATTCCGGCCGCTTGTCCTCTGACCTCCACCAATGTGTTCCCACGTTAATGTAATAAAGTTCTCAATGCATATTTCAACACGGAGGGGCTTATGCCTGCATCCCCAGGGCTCAGGGTGCTGAGGCACGAAGATCAGCAGCTCCATGAGCAAGCAAGCATAGAAAGAGCAAGACCCTCTAAAATGAATTTTAAAATGCAGTTAGGGAACCAGGCCCTGGCTATGTAGACTTGTAAATCCCAGCACTTGGGAGGCAAGAGACAGAAGGAGCACCACAAGTTCAAAGCCAATTTGGTTTATATAACAAGTTTTAAATTGGCCAGGGCTACAGAGTGAGACCCTGTTTCAAAGAAAAGCAGTCTGGTAGTTCCCACCTGTGATGGATGCATCAGGGAAGCATGAACGATCACTAGTTAAGGAAATCCAAGGACCTCGAGAGAGCCTAGGCTATGTGAGACCCTGTCTCCAAAGGAGAAGAGCCCCATTGAAAGCTTTTGTTCACATTCAGGCCATTAAGGGGCGGGGGTGGGGGGGTGGGACCCTCTGGGGTACAGGTTCTTGCCCACAGGCCTGAGGGTCCCAGTTGAACCACCAGATCTCACAAGCTGACAGGAGAAAACTGATCCAGGAAGCTGTCCTTTGACCTCTACACATGTGCCGTGGCATGAACACACATATACATAAACACACAAAATAAATGCAACCTTTTTATTTGTTTGCTGTTTGAGACAGTGTTTCTCTGTGTGGCCCTGGTTTTCCTGGAGCTCACTCTGCACACTAGGCTGACCTTGAACTCACAGAAATCTGCCTGTCTCTGCCTCCTGAGTGCTGTAATTAAAAACATGATTTATCACTACTCAGCCCCATTTTTTTTAAAAGAGAGGTAAGAGTGATGAAAAATAAACTCATGGCATTTCAGTATTGACTGATCTGCCCTCCTGACCTTTAAAAAAAAAGAGAGAGAGAGGTTATTTTTCCCATCAGTGGTGGCACACACCTTTAATGCCAGCTCTTGGGAGGCAGAGGCAGGTGGGGCTCAGTAAATTCGAGGGCAGCCTGGTCTACAAATCGAGTTCTAGGACAGCCAGGACTGTAACACAGAGAACTCTGTCTCAAAAACACAAAAACAACAGCCAAAAAAGAGTTTATTTTTATTATTTACAACTTTTAGGGCTGGAGAGATAACTCAGTGGCTAAAGGCACTGACTGGACTTGAGAGGCAGAGGCAGGCAGATCTCTGAGACTTTGAGGCCAGCCTGGTCTAAGGTCCTGAGTTCAATTCCCAGCAACTATATGGTGGCTCACAACCATTAGTAATAATCTCTGGTGCCCTCTTTTGCTGAGCAGGCATACATGCATACATAATAAACAAACAAAAAGGAAAAATCTTTTTTAAAAAATTTAACCTTTATTTTTATTTTGTGTGTAGCGGTGTTTTGCCTGCTGTGCACCATGTGCCTGCAGCACCCTTGGAGGCCAAAAGAGGGCATCAGATTCCCTGGAGCCACCATGTGGGTGCTGGGAACCGCATTCGGGTCCTCTGAAAGAGTAGCAAGTGCTCTTAACTGGTGAACCATCTCTTTGGGTCCCTTTCATTTTAATTATGTGTATGTGCCTGTAAATGGGTATGTTCCCACAAAGACCAGAGACATTGCATCCCTTGGAGCTGGAGCTATAGGTGGCTGTAAGCCACCCCATGCCCATGTGAGTGCTGGAAATCAAACTTCAGTCCTCTGGAAAAGCAATGAGTCCTCTTAACCACTAAGCTATTTTTCTAGCCAAAGAAAACTTTTATTTAATAAGTCTGTCAATATGAATTAGTAGGGGTTGGAGATATAGCTCTGATGTAGAACCCTTGCCTGGAATGCATGAGGACTTAAAGTTCTGTCCCCAGTACCACAGATAATAATAATGACAAAAACAATAATAAATATCAGAGCCAGATGTTGGTGGCACACAACTTTAATCCCAGTACTCAGGAGGCAGAGGCAGGCCAGCCTGGTCTACAGAGCTAGTTTCAGGACAGGTTCCAAAGCAATACAGAGAAATCTTGTCTTGAAAAACAAAAACAAAACCAAAACCAATAATAAAATCAGAAGACACACACTTGCATTTTAGTCAACACACACACACACACACACACACACACACACACACACACACACACGAGATGGGGGGAGGGTTACACAGGGACAGCATGATAACCAAGTGTGGTTGGTAGCTTAACACTGGAGAGACTGAGGCGGACAGATCATCTCAAGTTTCAGTCAGTCAAAAAGCAAAAACCAAAAAAACAGGAAATAATACAACCAAAATTGTGAAGAGAGGATATGGCAAAGTACTTCCTGCATTGACTATAGAATCAAACTTTGAACCTTAACAGAAAAGGCTAAACATAGCATTGTGCTTTTCTTCCCCTTATCAAATTAGTGATTCCCCAAGAACACAAACTGTCCCCACCATTTGACCAAAGTTGTTCTTTAGTCTATCTAAAGATTTTATTTTGCTCTTTAAAGATTCATGTATTTATGACAGGTGTGTGTGGTGGTGCACTCCTTTAATCCCAGCACTCGAAAGGTAGAGACGGGTGGATCTCTGTGAGTTCCAAGCCAGCTAGTGCTCTGTAAAGATTTCTGTATTTTCAAAATGCATATGAGTGTCTTGCCTGCATTCCAGTATGTGCACTATGTAGATGCCTGGTGCTCATGAAGGCCAGGAGAGGGACTTACAGATGGAACTGGATTTACAGGTGGCTGTGAACTGCCATGTGGGTGCTGGGAACTGAACAGGAAGGGCAGGAGAGGTAAGTGCTCATGACCTCTGGGCCACCTCTTCAGCCCTTGTTTTTATTTTTAACTATGTTTATATGTATGTATCTGGGTGGGGATTGCACATGTGATGGCACTACCCTCAGAGCCAGAAGACTGTATGGGATACCCTGGGGCTAGAGATACAGGTGGCTGTATAGTGTGGGTGCTGGGAACCAAACTGAAGTCCTCTCCAAGAGCAGTACAGGCTCTTAGCTGCTGGCTGGTGGCCCATCACTCTACACCCCCTTCCTTTCTCCCTTCCTTCCCCCATCACTCCCTTCCTTCCTTCCCTCCTTCCTTCCCTTCTTATTCTACTCTATTCCTCTCTTCCCTCTTTCCTTTCCCTCCCCTCAGTCTAGCCTAGTTATTGGGAGCCTCCTGCCTGAGCCCTTCACATGCTTGAATTATAGTGTAGGCCACCATTCCTGTTTTGAGTCAGATATTTCTGATGCCCAAGTTCCAAGACCTATACCACCCATCTTTCCAATGTCTTTTCCATTAATGCTGTTCTTAAGTCAGAACCAATGGTTCTCCAGTGAAGGCATTTCTGCAGGAGGCCTGGGGAGCAAAGGTTGCGTGGGCTCTGAGGATATTAGGAGGGTTGACCAGATGGCAGATCTAGCTCTCTGCTTTCAGGACAAATAATAGATTCTAAAAATTGTCCCTGGAGTTACCTGATCACAACAACTGACAAATAAGAAAGCAAGCTCACAAAAGATGAGTTACATTCAGCAGAATGCCTAACTATCATGTGTCATGTGTTGATTAAAAAATGGAGAGGAAAGGGCTTATTACATGATAAATGATGGCTGAGCAAGGGGAGGATTAGCACAGGGGACCATGTGGTGGACCAAGGCTTTCTTTAGTAAATATAATGACAATTTACTTTCCACACAGCAAAAGCCTCTGGAATCCTCATGGTAGTACTGTGAGGTTGGCAAGGCAGATGTTATTTGAGACACACTTTGTAGGCAAAGAAAATCAAGGTTTGAGGATGTCTAATGGCTTGCTCAACCTTACTCAAGTGATGGACTCAGGACAGATAGACAGCATTTCTCCCCCTTTAGCACACTGTTGTGAACTGAAAGCCTGTCCTGGCCTATGAGAGAAATGGAACCCTGAAAGTTTCCTCCATCTGTCTTCGGAAGTCACCTCAGGCTTGTCATTGTTCCTCTGCATGCACATATGTAAGGAATGGGTTGGTCACTGGAGCCAGGTGCACATCTGTGTAGTGGTAATGATCTCTAGGTTATAGAACCCAGTGAATAAGGTCACAGAATGATTAGAGCTTGACCAGATGGGTGGCCTGGAATGCGACAACCATAGTGACCATGGCTGTATGCTCTTGCTGTGGGTTAGACAAAGGCACACTTACCTGGTGTTGAAACGCTGCTCTCAGTCCTCTCAGATGTTTCCTTTGCAAATGGGGAAACCAAGGCAGAGAGGTGAAGTAACTACTATACAAAAACATACTGCCATTGCCCCCTCTTTAAAAAAAAGTGTTATTTTTTCAAAAAAATTGTTTTGGGCAAAGTCTCACTAGTTTCAAACTCCCCATCCTCATACCTGTGCTGTTCAAATGCTGGGATTACAAGCCTGTGCCTCAACATCCAGCTCTTGGCACACAGCTTCTTTTTTCTTTTCTTCTTTTGGTTTTTCAAGACAGGGTTTCTCTGTGTAGCCCTGGCTGTCCTAGAACTACCTCTGTAGACCAGGCTGGCTTCCAACTCACAGAGATCTGCCTGCCTCTGCTTTCCAAGTGCCACCACCCTGCCATATTTTTTTTATTAAAACATTTTTCATACAATATGTTTTGATCATGTTTCCCCTCCCTCAGCTCCTCCTAGATCTTCTGAACTTCTCCCCCCACCCAACTTTGATCTTTCTCTCTCTCTTTTAAAACAAAAGCACCAAAAACAAGAAACAAAACAGCAGTTAAAAAAAAAACAAGAAAATGAAAATCAAAACATGGAAAAGACCAATAAGACAAAAAAAAAAAAAAAAAAAAAAAGTGCCAAAACAAAGCAAAATGAAACAAAGTCCAACTACTCCTGAGCATTGGGCATTGGGCCAGCCCTGGAGTATGTGTGATATGCCCAGTGACTTTGCATTGGAGAAAACTTTACCAGCAGGCATGCAGGCATTAACTGCAGATGGCTTCTTGGTTAGGGCTTGGGCCCTGTGCATACTTGCCCAATATTAACTATTAATGTACCATCTGCAGTCAGCCATCATATCCACTTTTAATGGTCCATATTAAATGACCTGGGTGGTACGGAAGTATACTGATAGTAGCTATGCAGGTGAAATGAATTTCTTGTGACCGAAGATATCTGAGCGCCTCCTAACTCATTGGGTAGAAGTGATGACAGTGACATTAGGGCTGGGGTGTAGCTCAGTGGCAGAGCTCTTGCTTCACAAGGGGATGGGGACTAGTTAACTTTAGCATTCAAGAGGCCTTGGTAAAAGATGATCTAAGAAAAAAAATTTTTTTTTGTTGTTTTTCCTTTCTAGAATCAGACTGGATCTTTGGCCGTTTTTCCTTTCCTACCTCTTATTCCAGGAAATGATTTGTCTCTTCCTACAGTGTCTACAGATGGACCGGACGTTTCATTTCCTCATCTAGAAATTCTGGTCTGATAAACAGTCTCACTGGCACTTGTGAGGACAGCGGCCTTCCGTGCTGCGCCGCCGCCGTTAGTTCACAGTGCTGTGTGTGTGTGACCAGGGATTGATGCTGCTTCCCTAGGACGGTTGCCTCAGCTGTGGCGCTCCTCTGGGTCTTTCACGCGAAGGCCACTGTCATCCAGAACACTCCCCCAGGCTAAGCCACTTGAGGAAGGAGTGAGGGGAGGATTCATGATTTCCAGGAGTCCTGAGCCCTCATTCCACCTGCTGGCCTGTGTTAGTTAGTCCTTCCCTGTCTCTAAAAACAAAGGCAGAGCTAGGACTAAGTGTGGTGGGATTCTGAGTCTTGAAAAGATTCAGAACAGTCGCAAATTCACCAGCAAAAGCGATCCTCTCCACTCCAGCCAGCCCCACCTCATTTCCCAGATTGCCCCTCGCTGCTACCTCCCCTTCAGTCTTGCTGGCAAAGACAGGTAATGTGAGAGTACCTAGCCTGCAGGTGTTTCTTCCATTGACCTGCAGAAATTATATGTCTTCATGTGTACATTAATAAAATAAATTGCCATGCTCAATACTAGGGAGGAGCCTGGTCCAGAATGGGAGGTGGGATGGTCGTTCCCCTGAGTACCCCTCACTGATCTATTGAAAGATGCCAGGAGCTTTTGAAGGCTTCCTTGGGATGGGTGATCCAAGAGCCTGAAATGACCTTGTCTGGGTTATCGTGGTGCCTTTCCTTCCACCCAGCAGAGATAGCCAGGGTCCAGGTATAACATTTCATCCTACCTGCTGGTTCATTCCCTGCATTGCCCAGAATGTGCTGTGAGGCCTTTGTCTCTGTAGCTCTACTGGACTTGGATTGTGTGTGTGTGTGTGTGTGTGTGTGTGTGTGTGTGTGTGTGTGCACCCACACACGCAGGGGAGGGGGTTTTGTAAGGGATGTATGGCGAAGGTAGAAGGGAATCGAAAGTGAGCACTGCTTCACAGTTTGTGGATATCCCATACACATCTGATGATTGAGGGAATGCATTTCCCACCTCAGCAATGTCTGGGGCATTTAATCCCACAATACTCTCCAAGGAAAATACCTGAATTGTCCAAGGTATTGAAATCTGTTAATAAGGTAAAGCCGGGTTTGTTTTCCCTAACATACATTTTGGTACCAGCACCCTTCCTTCTTGAGCCACGGTCAGCTTCACACAGACATCTAGCATCAGTGTAGTCATCCAGGGTCCCATACACAGAAGGACTCTGCCCTTGGTGTACCGCTGTGCCGTCCCCATCTTGAAATGCTGAGTGATTTCTGGACAATGAGTCTTGTGTTGGTGTCTTGCACTTGGCTGAGCCTGTTATTTAGCATCTTCTGCCTAGGGTGCTGAAGAGCTCTCCTTCACCAGTGAGAGGGGAAATTTCAGGGTGTCTTCTTGGTCCCGTCCATCCATAGGCTGGGCAGAGGTGATGGGGACAGAGAATGCCTTGCTCCCAAGTTAAGCACCAGTATCTGTGGATGAGAAGGAAACACCTTCACATCCACCTGGTGGCCAACTTCTATTCAAGGTGCCAGGAAAGGATAAAGGAGATTTGGGGTATGGACCACAGTATAGAAGCCTAGGAGAAAATAACACTCCTGAAGATAATAAATCTGTAAGGTCTAGTGCAATTTGGTTGAATTAGCAAGGACTATTGGGAGATGAAGATGGAGAGACAGTTTGAGAGATCACACTGGAGACCCCAGGGGACCTTTGCTCCTTTCCACATTACTGCTTCCCTTGTGATAGTACACTGTTTGTGTGGCTGGATTATATGATGCCTTTATGTGTTTCACTCCTTGCTTCTACCTGCATGTATGTCTGTGAATCTAGTGCCTGTGGCAGCTGAAAGAGGGCCTTGACTCTCCTGGAATTGGATTTACAGATGGTTGTGAACCATCATGTGGGAAGCAGGATTCTAACTGAGGTCCTCTGGAAGAGAAGTCAGTGCTCTTAACCACCAAGACATCTCTCCAGCTCCTTACTCCTTGCTTTTAAACCAAAGTAACACGGACTTCATAGGGATTCAATAAATGTTTGCTCAATGAATTACGAAGAGGATCTAAAATGTTATCCTGGGAACTGTTTAACCCAGAGTGTAGTGGAAACCTTCCAAGGGTTCAAATGGGAGAGGGGCCTTATGTGGTGCTAGAAGATACATCTAGGAGACTGGAGAGAGCACTGGCTGCTCTTCCAGAGGTCCTGAGTTCAATTCCCAGTCACCACAGGGTGGTTCACAACCATCTCTAGTGGGATCTGATGCCCTCTGCTGGCATAAATGTATGCATGAGGATAGAGCACTCATCTGCATGAAATAAATCTTTAGAAAAAAAAAAAAATAGATGCATCTGTGGTGATGTGATGCATCTGTGGCGATGTGATGGATAGGAAGGGGAGAGGCTTCACATGGTGATCCTGCTGTCAAGCCTTTACAACACCTGGAAGGATGGCTGATGCGGGCGGGGAGATGCACCTCAGAGAAGCAGACAAAAAAGGAGTGGCGAGTGACACACACACCAGAGAGCTGGCAGCTGGGTGTGTGAGAGCAAAAAGAAGGGGAAGGACACAGAAGAGTCCCTGAGAAAAGCTAGGCTAACTTGGGAGGACACAGAACGTCTCATCTGTGCTGCAGAAGCCGTTTGAATACATCCCTGGCCTCTGGCAGACCTAAAAGAGCAACCCCGACAGAGAAGGTCCAAGTACAGTAGTGATGTCCCTAAAGACCAAGTTGTTAAAAAAAAAAAAAAAAAGCCATCCTTGGCACTGGAGGGATGGCTCAGTGGGTAAAGGCACTTGCCAACAACCCTGCCAGTTTGAGTTCAATCCCCTGAATCCACATAGTAGAAGGGGACAACTGACTTGTCCCCTGATGGCCACATACGTGTTGTAGCATGCATGCCTGCACACATATACACTCAACATAGACACAAATGTAGAGGCTTGAGAGATGATCAAGAGTACCTCCTGACTTTGGAGAAGGCCTGGATTAGGTTCCCAGCACCCATATGAATCCAGTGACCTCTTCTGTCCTCCTCAGGCACAAGGTGTGTTGTACATATATCTATATATCTATATATCTATATATCTATATATCTATCTATATATATATATATATATATATCACTAGTGAAAGTAAAAACTTCTCTGGATAAGGCTGGGGTTGATGACTCAGTGTTAGAGCACCTCAACATTTATGAGGCCCTAGGTTCGACCCTGTGTCAAACAGAAAAAGACCTGGACAGTTCGTGTATTCTTGCTTCTCCCTAGACTGAATGAGTCCAATTTGGTTGAGAGAGAAGTTTATTTGAACTTTAGAAGCTGTCCTAGAGCTGGGGAGATGGAAGGTAAAAGTGCTCGCTCTACAAGAATGAATACCCCAAATCTACAAAAAAGCCAAGACATAGCTAGCTGCTCATGACTTTCAAAGGACAGAGGCATACAGATCCCAAGAGCTCACATGTATAACACACACACACACACACACACACACACACACACACACACACACACACACACACGAGATTCACAGACGTGCATGCACACTAATGTTACTGTCTGTTAGTGGTGGTGGTTGGTGTGAGTCGAACCCTGGGCCCATTCCCAGCTCATCAATAATAAACCTTTGCAAAGGGTTCTGATGCAGAGCCAATTTAAAGAATCATTTTGTTCACTCCAGCCCTGGATGGCCCCTATTTACTTCAGGCTGGGTGGCTTTTGCTAGCCTTAAAAGGCTTCAGTGCTGATTCCATTTTCCCTCCGCCATAGTAGGGGATATAAGACAGGCAGATTGGCAGCAGATTGGAGCCCCCCTCCCACCCAAGCTGGATGATGACATGAGCCAAATGTAATCATTCACAACCCTTGTCTTTATAGCGGGCATGTCACTTAACTTAATTACAGCACACAATGCTATTTCAACTCAAGGAATCTAAAAAAGCAACAAAATGGGTTTTGCAAATTGTTAGGCAATGAAGACCTTGAAACTGCAATTTACTATGCATTGCTCTCAATTATTTTGTTTTCTCCAGCTATGATTCAAGTTATTAACTAGCAGCTGGGAAAGCCAGAGGCAGTGTGTCATGTGTGGGGGGAGCATTTCATACCCCTGTCCATCACACTGTGTGCTCTGGAGGTGGCTGGAGGCTCTAGAGTGGGCTCAGAGTGGGAGGGGATGAGACTATGGTGAGTACAAATTCTTCCCATCTGGGCAGGCACCTGCTAATCACGCATCCTCCATCCTGCTACAAAACCATGCATTCTAACTGGTACAGATGGCCTTCGGTGGGAGTCTCTCTTGCCTCCTTGCTCCTCAATATTAACGACTGCCCCAGAAACTATAAAGACATGTTCCAAAGCAAAGCTTCCCCCCCCCGCCCCCATCTTCTTGGCTCTTTGCTTTTTCTGGCTTACTTCCTGATGCCTTTTAGTCCTCTGGTTGGTTCTAAAGGGAAAGACTGGGCTGTGGGCGCAGCATCTTTCTTCCAAACACCTAGCAGTCTGTGGTGGTGGTGACCCAATGGGACCCATCCATCTGAGAAAGATGCATCAGGAAAAGGGCAACAGCCTTGAGATAGATTCCACTTGCCTGGAGCAATGTTAGCTAGCATGCTTATCAGAAGCAGCCATGCCAGCGGGACAGCAAACACCAAAATCCTGTTGGCAAAGCCAGCAAGACCATTGCAACGTGGCCAAAGCAAACAGGGGCTGAGAACAGCCAGTAGCCTTAGGGATGCTTGCCTGCACCCATTCCCCAGAGCCTGGGCCCAAGCTAGATTCCCATACCCTCCTTTTGGTTCAGTCCCAGATGGAAGAAAGTGGTTCGGATTGCCTTTCTGTGCTCTTCCCAGCAATTCTGGGAGCTGATAATCCTCCCCTTCCCTTACTGTGGAGGTGGAAACTGAGGCTGGGAACAGCAAGGTCACAGAGCCAGGTCGTCCAGTCCAGCTTCTGACTCCTTTCATTTCTCTCTCAATTCATCCATCTCTCCATCCCAAATTCCCATAGTTCCTTCACAGGCTAAGCCCCCACATCCTA